TCACACTGTATGAAAAATAACCCAAAAAGTCAACACCGAACGAACTAGTAGGCGGTCAACCAAAGAGACTAGATGTTGAACTTGCAACTAAATGAAACGACGGTAAAACAGAGTACGAATTTAACACAAATAATAATAATCAAAAGAGAGACTTCAAATGAATTCACACACATAATCGTTAACTATTTACAAAACAACTCAATGCATTCACACATATGTAAAGTTAAAGTATCATTTGATTAGAAAAATTAGTAAAGAGTTACTATTTGGAAACTTAAAATATATTAAATTGGTTGCACAAAAAAAAGGAAATTAAAATTTTAGGCAAAACGGAGCTACCAAACCTATTCACAAAATGTAATATCATAGTATTAGTTAAGACGATATTAACTTTTGTCGTACGAATCGTACTAAGACTCTAAGGACAAGAGTAATAGTTTACTAATTAGCAATTGGCATTTTAATTTCCAGGAGGGTTGGTGACATTGGACCGTTGTGTCTTTTGGTCAGCCAATCCACACACATAGGTTAAATACATGTGGATCCACATATACACATGCTTCCATGTGCATGTTCATTAAAAATTATCTCTTGTAGAGAGACCAAATTGCGGAAGTAACTTGTGGTGCTGGCTTTTATCATTTGACAATGATTCGTACCTTTCGTAATAAATATAGTGTCTGTAATAATATTTTCAAAAACACTAAATATCATCGGTTGATAAATTAATAGTAGCAACTAAAAATAATGCAATAGTCGCTCTCAAGTTGCATCATCTTGGGTTTATAATAATTCCATTATAGAATAGTGATACATCGTCACAAGGACATGTAATGTAACGAGTTTCCTCATGCCGTGTCTCACGCAGCAAGTTGCAACTCTTCGGCACACACATAATAGCAGAACAGTAGAGTTTATTTAAACAAAACTTAATTATCTGAGCCAACATCAACTCATATGATATGCATGGGAAATTGAAGCCGAGAGATATCTATTTACATTGCGATAACATATGAAGCAACTTAAAAGTTGAAAAAAACAATCCAAGTAAAACATCGAATCAAAAATTATTTCAATTTGAGTTTTAAAAAAAAAAGTTATCTCAATTAAAAATAAGGAAGACTAAAGGTACAACTCAACATGGCAGACTCCTAAAATACCAATAGACTCCTAAAACACGTAATAGATAACTCTTCTTAGAGTTCCTTTGGGATTGAACATTGAACACAGTACTGCAACATAAATTGTTTTCTTTTTTTGTGACCAACCAAAAAAACTGTTCTACCAGAAGAACTTTTTAAATCAAACATGCAACTAGCCAAACACACGTTTCTGGACTTTCTTTGTATGCATCATCATTTTACAGAATTTAGTCTATTATATATCTGATGTATCTTACTTCTTGTAAACTTTATGACGTTATATTTTGTATAATAATACGATGACCCTTCCCCCATTTGCTTTGCTAGACCAAAAGTTATGGTTCTAGAAGAAATAAATGGATTTGTAGTCTGAATGTCCGATGATAAGCTTTAACCGCTGTAAAAAGTAAAGGAAAAGTGTCCGTAAGTGTACATCAAATCTAATGGATCACTTTCTAGATCATATATTAATGTTGCTTAATTGCTTAGATATATCATTATTGTTATGTTGACGTCAAACTTTCGTTTATAGTCTACATCTACTACTGGTATTTTTCGTGTTTTTAGACTAATTTAGTTTGTAGCTTCTAAGCTATATATTGAATATAGAGATTGCTTAGATGGTTCAAGACTATTATTACCTTCGATGAGACCCACCTCTAATTCAATCAAGTTATGGATTAAAGTCAAAGTCAAATTTAAGAGGAGAACGGAGACGACCAACATGACAAAGATCATAGGAAGTGAGAAGAATCCGATTCTTCAAAATAATCCCCTTTAAGGTAGTTTAGCTTTCTAGGAAAGATCATAATCACCTGCATTTTACCGAGGCTAGTTAATTAACTGGATTATTTCCCCCCTACTCCAGTTTATCAATATAGGTTGATTATAGAAATGGTAGTATACAAAAACAAATAAAGGTTACAATAATAGATGCAAGTATAAATAAGAATACATACAGATAAAATAAGACATATTTTCTTATTTGAAAACGACATATCAAAGAATTTTAGGAAGGAAATTTTCCTAAAGATCAACATGTGGACATGTGGCATGTACGGATAAAGAAATGGAGATATTTTGGGGCAAAATGAAAGGAAAACAAAACACTAGTGAATGACCTAACACTTGATCATATACATATATAATTCAAAACGGCACTAGACACAAATGGACAACTCTGCTTAGAACACAGTTTGGCACTATCACCAGACCTAATTTCTTCGTGTTCTTATAATAATTTATATGCAGTTTTCCAAATTTAGTTATGTTATATTTATTTTAGTTATTTTTAAATTTCAATGTTAGGTTTTATATATTTAAATTTTAGTGATAAGTGTGGTATCATGCATGTGTTTTCTTTTTGAATTTATTAGGTGGCCATGTCTGTACATGATCTGCTTATTCACACCCCACTTTCTCTATTCACATTTTATCAAATCTTAAAATATTTTTTATTGTAAATGAAAGCCTTCCTTTTTGCCTAACATTTTTCATCTCCTTTTTATCTAATTTTGCATAAAAATATAGTACGGTGAGTGGAAGGCATATTTCGATGGATTTTATCTGCAAAATCGTGATGTATCTAATCATTTGTTGTATTATTCACGTTGATTAGTTCGTTTTGATCGAAGCCACATGTGCTAACAACATAAAGAGTAAATGACAACTAAAAATTCTTGGGCTTGTACGTTGCAATCCGTTAATGCATCGTTATACAGGTAGATCCAAATCTATTGTCAAATTGCTGCTTTTCCTTAGTTATCAATTATATGTAACTTTAGATTACCTAAACTCTGTGATTATGCGTACGTGTACACTCTACTATGGAAAATTATCTACTTGAAGGTCAGTTATTTAGTCGAAAATATAAGAAGACTACTAAATACTAATCAATCATTCAAAAGTAGAATGCGATAGTGCTCTAAAGTATATATAAAGCTCCATGACAGTGAAATTGATCGGTGTCGGATATAGGAGTAGTTGGAAGAATATTAATAAAAATTATGTTAGACAAGATAAAATGAAACTTTGCAAAGATTCTTTTACATATTTTGATAAAAAGGTTATATATATGTAACAAAGGAATAAAGCTTAAACCGTACAATCAAGGAAATAAAAATCAGTATTTAAATTTAATGATCCATGAGATGGATGACACTTCAATTAGGAATAAGCACATCATCTTTTCACTTTTAATAAAAACACAATAACGATTATATCTTTCTATGTGTGCGTTTGTCTTGCGAATCTTAAAAGCTCATTAGAATGACTTTTTTTGTTTGTCAATTTGATCACTTTTGGACCTTTAATCCTCAAACGGAGGTAAGGAGGGGTCGAACCCCTAACGTAAGGGCCCGAAGACAGAGCTCAGTTACCACTTGGCTACGAACAACCCGACAGCTCATTAGAATGACTAACAAAGAGTATTATCCCTTTTTTTTTGTTAAACGGTTTTAAAGAAGCTGGCTGAAATTGAAAAGTGAATTCTGAAAGAAACCAAGATCAAACTCGTGCAAGTATAAAACTTTAAAATCAAATTCTTATAAGTAAAAACGAAAAAATCAAACTCGTTCCAAGTATCTTGACTATCTAGAAATTATATGTAAAGACTAACTAGTAGTTACCATAATAGGTTAACTTAAGAGAGTTTATCTTGTTTTTTTTTTTTTTTTTTTTTTTTGCAAGTTGGTATAAATGAGCCCAAAAAACAAAGAAAGAAAAAGAGATAAAGTTTGTCAAAGTGTTATAAATGTTCACAGACACTTATTGGCACTAAAATTAAGAATAGTGGAACATGGAGCATACTGAGAAAGAAGTTTGCAGGTTGGACGCTTTACAAATTGAACAACCGCATGGTCTGTACTCATTTTGTGTATGCCTCCTACTTTTTGCAACTTAAGAATAAAAAGCTTATAGTTATTATTATTTTACCTCGTATCATTTTTCTCCATTGTTCTTTATTAAAATTTCTTACACTCACTAAATTGGTTGCTATTTAAGGTTAGCAACTTTGGAAGAAATCTGTGAAAAAAGGGTAATCTCAACATGTGAAATGACATCGAGTTAGAAGTTAAAAAATATTGATATCGTAGCCAGCAGATCTGATTGGGTAAAAGGTTGACAAAAAAAAGATCTTATTGGGCTGTGAGGCCCACAGAGAATCCAAACAATACTAATTGGAAAAGCTGGCCCTATTTATCAAATATCAACCAAATGATGGCAAGCTTACACTTCGATGGGAAGAGTAGAAACTAGAAACATATAATTTTGATGGGAAGTGTGTGTGATTACACTCTTAAACTCTTTGGAATATAGACTTTCGAGAGATGGTCTTAGTTAGACAACAAAATAGTGTTTCAAAAAAAAAAAAAAAAAAAAAGACAACAAAATAACCCGTATATCTTTAACATGTAGAAATGGTTATTGTATCATATACACTCTTTTACAACACACGTGATTAATGTTCATGCATCATTCCAGAGCCAGTCCTACAAATCTAAAGACTACAAGCCAAAATAAAAAATGTGGCTGAAATACAGGAGAGGTGTTTCGAACCCTCAACCTATTATGTATACAGCAGCAACACAACCAGTAATGCTACTATGACTTTGTTGTCCAATGTGGCCGGTAAGATAGATATTATTTTGCGGCTGGAAGCACTGGCTTCTCTCGCTTCCATTAAGGGCCGGCTCTGCATCATTCATTCTATCAAAGGTAAGATCTAAACATCAAAAGGTAGTTTTTAAAGGTTACAAATGTGCATTTTCTTTTTTAACCATCATGTATAAATAATATGATCTCTTGTTATATAATTTTCTTGACCTACTTGTATAAGAAAAAGATGACCTAACACATTAGTCAACGAAATAATGATTCAGCCTACAGGATTTTAAAATCCACTAAAATAATAATCTTGACAAGAATAACAAAAACAATTCGATACCGATAGTAATTTTCTTGCATGGAAATGTTCCAATAATGATAAATAAAGTTTTGTGACATTTAATAAAACCGATAAACTTTAATGCCACAACTTCATGCAGAATCCGGACTGAACAACAGCAGACGCACCACCACCAATAGCAGAACGCTTAATCGAAACGCGGTCGCTGAAACTATGAACAAGCTGCTCAGCCAAAGCCACAGGATCATCAGTAAACGTATCCATGAATATCTTCACAACTCTAATCTCTTGTGACGTGGCTCTCAAGCCATACCAAGTTAGAAACTTCTGTCTGAAATCTTTCTCAATATGTCCTGAACATTCAAGCTGTCTCATGATCTTCACACAATGCTCTAAACCGCTCTCTGAACCACCGTTAGCTGAATGATGATCACCGTTATTACCGTTTTCTTTAACAGGTTTCCCGTTTCTAGCTTGACGGTTCTTGGTTTGGTCTGACCTGAAGGGAGTAATTGGTAAACTCGCATCTAAACTGTTCCTTGTCTTAGTAACCGGGACTAGAGCTTCTCCGTTCTTGCCTGGAACAGCTTCTTCTTCTTCCTCCTCATCTAACAACACAACCCGTTCAGCTTCATCAGAAGAAGGGTTAGAAGACAATGTGCTGCAGTTTGTGAGAGGGCTTTCGCTTCTTTCTTCTTCTTCAGGGCTACGCGTCAAGACATTGATCTCATCGATTCCAAGCTCTCGTGTTCCGCTATAGGACACAACTTTGAAGCAATACTCAGACGCTGGAGCTAATCCAGAGACAACAAATCTTGCGTTTGGGGTAAACAATGTGCAGGTTGACTTCTCCTGGTACTCTTTCTCTGTGACCTTACGATGCCAAATACTGTAATGAACGATGTTTGCAGGTGTAGTGACTTGGTTGGATGCTAGAATCACTGTGAGTGAAGTGGAGTTAACATCCTCGAATCTGATCTTGGTTGATACTGTGGTTGCTGTCTCTGCAGATACCTCATTGCATACTCCATAAGAACAATCTAGCAAAAAAATAAAACAGAGAATTATTATTGATCTTACTTTAAAGATTTTTAATGATAAAACGCATCAAATATTTTTGAAAAAATACTCAACTAATATTTAACTTACAAATCATTAATATATGTTACACTTCATCTATATTCCCAGTTAAAATGTTATAGTTAGAGGGATTTTATCACTAAAACCATGTAAAACAATTTATGAAAGTTTGTAAAATCGGATAAAGGTTTTTAAAATAATGAATAAAAGTTTATAAAATATTTGGGTAGTAAGAAGCTAACCGTGCTGCATCTTGGAGCTGCCTGGTGAAGGAAATGCAGCAACTTCAGGAGCTGTAGTTTCAAGAGATTCAAGAGCAGAAGTGCAAAGTTTCTGCACATCAGGTCCAGATTGTAGTCTGTTTACAATCCCTCTACCCATTTTCATAGGAAGACCAGTGAGAGGACCAACATCAGCTTCAAGACTCTTCACAGCTTCATCAACAACCTCACAGAGATTTTGGTATTTAGTAGAGCCCTTTATAAGCTTCTGGACTAATAAAAGACGGTAGCATAGTACGTCCACCCTTCTGGTTTCTTTAGCAATAGTCAACTGCTTCTTCCAACATTCAAGCAAGCTGTTTGGTTTACCGCAAGAGACACAGTAGAAGCAGCAACCACCCTCACTTTGTTTGTCATTTGCAAGACCGGATTTGTCACTCTTGAAAGCACATTCAAGATGACAAGAGAATCCGCAAGAATCACTCACAAATGGAGGGTCTGAGCTACATGTTAACCAGAGACTAGGATCTTTGTTATCATCATACTTAAGACAAATGCAACAAGAACACCTTCTGCAAAACGAGTCTCCCTGTCTCAATATGGCACGGCAAGCCAAGTTGTTGCAGTAGATAGTATTCTCCTCACCTTTAGTATTAACTGAGTTGGAGCTTCCTGAGGCATTGTTGCTCGTTGGCATCACATAACGAGTAGGTTCATCGACCTTTCTTTGCCTCTTTGTGTTTCTCTGAACAGGCAAACAATCAGAATCTCTCTTCTTCTTCTTCTCCTTCTCATCATACTCTCCAGAGTTTTTCTCGTTTACAATTTTCAAAAGAGCTTCGATGATCTTGACTTTGGTCAAACCAGTGTACTTTCTCTCTTTTCCCATTTCAGCACATAAGATCTGAAGAATCTCTTGGCGGCTCCATGCCTGCAACACTTCAGTAGCTAGATGTGATTGCTTGGAGAGTTCGTAAACAAGTTGTCTCTTCTCATCAACACTCATTTGACTGCATTTTGATGAGTCACCAGCAGCTCCTGTATATATATATAGAAGAAAACAGTGGGGGACATTTAAAACTTAGACTCACAATGGAGCACAATGTCATAACAAGAAACACAAAAGTCATCCCTTAAAAGCTTGTTGTGTCTGATCTTACACAAATGATGATAATTTACGTAAAATTGTTATCCCAAATTAAGAAAAATATTCCAAACTCAACGTAAATGAAACTACAAAGCAAAATCAGAAAATTTGAGAACTACCATATTCATTCATTTAAAACAAAGAAAGTTGAACAACCATCACAGGAGAACAATGTTGAGGTTGGAACAAGGAGTCAAAGAGGGAATCAAAACAACATGCTAAAGCGAGAGATCATTTTATTTAGAATGAAGTTGAAAAAATGGACCAAGATACTAGAAAGGAAAGAATAAGATGGGAATCAAAGCATGGGTTCTGTTAGGTAAGAATTAGAACCCACATTCATCAATAAGTGAACAGTAGTGATGACATCTCTCATGGAATCTTATTCCCATATATAGAACCAACGTCTTCTGACGCATGATTAAATCATGTAAAAAACTGCAATATGTCAACCAATGATAGTGGAAATAAAAAACAAAGAATATGGAGTTGGAACCAATCAACAAGAAAAAGTGAAAGACCCACCAATCAGAATCACCACTGAGAAACATAGCAATAAAAAACTTGCAAAAGATAATTAGATGATGAAAACAAAGATTAAGAACGCAGTAATCTAAATCAAGTAGCAAATCCCTGAATACAACAGTACAGTCTCTCAAACTTTTCAGCTAAAAAAAACACAAAATTTGAACAATCCAAAGATTCATCATCAGCTGGTAAAATAAGCTTAAATCATGTAGCAAATCAGTGAATAGTACAGTAAAGTGCCCCACTTTTGAATAAAAAAAACAAAACAATACAAATAAGCATCCAAAGCTTCATCATCATCAGCTGTGAAACATTATTAGTACATAGGGAATAACAAAGATACACGAATATCGATAAATCTGAAAGAAACCAAAGAAACTACTCAGAATAAGAAAAGTTGAAAGTACCATCGAGAGAAGAATCCATAGAGCGTAGAACGTTAGCAGAGAAGTTAGTCAAACCCACATTACCATAACAACCTGCGATGTGAAGACGAAGAAGAAGACAAAAATAATATATAAAGAAAAAAAATATTTAAAAAAATAAAAAAACTTGTGGGTACGAAATAAAACAGAGAGAAAGGAGATTAGACAGAGAGAGATCGGTGAAAAGAAGGAGAAAGGAGGAGACTTTACGCAATAAAAGAAGCTTTTTTGGTTCGTCGAGCAAATAAGAGATGATTTTGTTCCTCTCTCCCTCTACGCAAATAGTTCCGGCGAACGGAGAAGAGATAGAGAGAGAGAGAGCTGATGTGTGTGAGCTAAAAGAGAGCTCTTTTACGAGAAGAAAAGATGAGAGAGAGAGACAAAAGCCTATAGAGCTTGAGGAGATGCAGTTTATGGTGGGCCCTAAACAGAGTCACAATAAAAATAAAATTATATATTTTTTAACCTCTTTATATGATTCACGTTATTTCGGTTTGGAGTAACGTTTTTACTACTTTTACTATTGGTACGTAAAAGTAGGTAATTCTCTTTCAGAACATTTGATTCCAGATCTTTTAAAACGTTTATCAAACATTCAAACTATGTAATGTAATTTAGTACATGATAACTGATAAGATAGCTATAAGCTTTCCTTGTCCATTAACAAAAAAAAAAAGTAAGATAGCCGTAAAAAGTAGCATAACAATATCAAACGTGAACTATAGATTATTGTCAAAGTATTGAGAGATGAGTTATACAAGCAAAGTTTTAGTTAAAGTATTGACTTATTGGTAGGCTTACTACAAATTGTTGACCGTATTATAGATCTTGACAAATGGTAATCAGCTTAAAACCACAATGAAACAGCTTTAAAACCAATATAAATATGCATATATATAACAAAACGACATAATTCTTATGCTTAATTAGAAATATGATCGACACATGTCACCAACATTACCATTGACTAATTTTTAGAACATGATAACGTTTCACGAATTATGAATTAGATGCTAGTATGGAGATGATAGTTTTCTGATATGTACTATGGTAAAGAAAAAAAATTATACATGGTTCTATTATATAGCTTCTAAGAATTTATGGAAAATTTTGTTGCCAAATAAAAACATTTATTCCACAGAAATGAAAGAGTATTTTTATGCCAATCATAACAAAATCACACAAATCCAACGGATATTTCTCATTGTATGAATTGTTTTTTATTATTTTTCTGTGGATAACTATATGTATATTTATCTTAATCTTGTTTTATTATAAACGTTATGTCACGTGTTAAACTATCATTGGCAGGATTCATGGATTGTATAAGTGTGCGTGTTATGGGAACATTGGCTATCATCACTTGGTTTTGTAGTGGAGAGCGACATGTGCCCAAACAATGTAAAACGGCAAAAATTATACTAAACAATAACTTATTATCAAAATGTCACTTGCCTTTATTTATTGGATTATAAGTGGTCTAGAGAAGAAGGATAAAAAATTTGGATCCTTTTGGGTGTACTATCTATCATACTTAGCTTTCCGTATATATTACTCAATTAACAAGAACGCAATAAATATATAAGAAACGACTAACTGTTAATAAGTCTTGATTTACTTTTCACGAAAAAGTAGTATATTTTTCAGTTTTTTTTTGTCCCGTGAATGCAACCAGAATCAAAGACTTCTAGTTCTATTTAAATTCAGAACATGGGATATTAATTTACATAAATCTATTTATATTTAATCATAGTAAATTTGTTTTGTACGTTAGAGTTCTTTGATCAAGAATTAATGTATGCTATACAAAGGTTTTGAATGTTACGTGGGTCGAGTTGATTATCCAAATTGAGATAGCATCTAGCATTAGTGTAGAATAGATACATGCATACACCCAGTCAAATTTTCCATAATCATTGTGTGGTTTGTTTGATGAAATATTGTTTGTAGCAGTTGTAATTACAATTTTATTTAAGTTTTAAAAGTTCTAAGTGGATCCACTTTCTGAAATTTATACTTTTATATTCTTGCTTATGTTTTTCTGTTATTAATTTTCCAAAGAGTTGTAGATATACATCTCCTTCGTGGTTAGTACTTAGTAGAGCTATAAACATGTAGATACGTGAAGTATTTGATTTTAGTTAAGGGTCTTTAGTATCATTTAATTTGTTGTTGTTGCATTTCCACCTAACCTAGCTAACATCTATGTCAAAGTAAAAGCAATTTGTACGGTTAACATACATGTTTTCACTAACATTTATGTCTGATTATTCGAACAACTAAGTTTTAAATTCATGACAATTTTCTAGTTAGATGTTAATTGATTGAATAGCCTAAAATTAGGTGAAATTTAGATATCTAACGGAATTTGAAATGTAACACTTTTCTAATTGTAATGGCATTTTATCATCAGCAATATAACTAGAACTAAAACAAAATATTTGTTTGAATAATTAGTTTAAGAATAATTATGCTATTGTTAAAGTTCAACACTACAGAAAATAAGTATTTAGATAAAACATTATCTTCATCATCATTCAACATATCTCTGTAGTTTTGAGACATAAATAGAATGATTTAAAAAACAGATAAATGCATTAACGATTGAAACAAAAAAAACAAATCGGCTGTGTTAAATAAAGCAGGATCAGAGAAAGAGATAAAAGTAAGTTAACTTAGCTCATTTTAACAACAAAGATAGCCAACTAACTATAATAAAGCTGTTCATTAAAAAAAGAAAAAAAAAAAAAAAAATGTTCATTCAACCAACACATGCTAAACAGCTAAAGAATCAATTAAATCGAATGGCTAGAAAAATATTCATTTTTGTTGACCTAGTTTTTAAGATGTAACCTTTTTTTTTTGTGTGGAACGCTTTTAAGATGTAACCAAAATTAAAACATCCAAACCGTTTTTAGAAGAATGGATTTATCGAACAATTGGCCTTATGATCGGCTTGCACAGACGTGAGTTGAAAATTTGAACCGCCGTTTTGAATACAATTTATTTAATAACAGTGAAAATATGTATTTATTATTATCATTCATAGGTGATATGCATATTTTTGCCTAAGTACGTGCATGGTGAACCAAATGATGATGGTTTGGTAATAATTCTTTTGGAGCTGGTTCTGAGTTTGGTTTTAGTTTTGAATCAAATCGATAATACGGTGGATCATAATAGACAATCGATTCATCCTTATATATAAGATATCCAAATTCAGATTAAATAGTATAATAATCAATATTCAAACTCAAATTAAGTAGTGTAATAGTCAGATCATTGTATCATTGGTGTATTATTTTAGGCCAATCGGATAACCAATAAGGTTTATCAAAAGAAAAGTTTGTGCATGGTGAGTTGTTAGGAGCTCGATATGACAATCATATATATACAAGAAAATTGTTAGACTGAATTGTGGGCAAATTAAAAACTATGGACTGGCAAGTGGTGACATACCAAAAAAGAAAAACATTAAAATATAAAATATAACAATATTTATGTTATCATTTCATGTGGTCCCTAAGGGTTCAGTTGTGAACTGTGACTGCTGCTTTACCCAAAACATGAAAACAACCATACATAATTGCATGGAGGTGAGTATTAAACTAGACATAAGAAACCATTTGCGTTTTCCTAATATTTAGTCTTCGAGTTCATGTATCGAATGCCAGAATGTTAATCCGATTCGACTTTGTTTAGTTTGAATAAGACTGATTTATTAAAAATGAATCTCAAGAACAATTTAGATAGTCTATATACGATTAACGTACGTGAACTATTTTTAACCAGTTTAAAGAAAACCGGCACAACCAAAACAGAATAGGGCCAAGCCATTGCAATTCAACACAACATCCATATCTACCTCTCTATACTATTCTAGCAAAGTTTGACAAAAGAAAAAATACTATTCTAGCAAAGTTTCTGCAAAGATACGGACTATCTATGTTGATAATCTTATCTAGTATGATTTTGAGTAGTTTGATCTAACTAACATCATCATATCAAAAACAAAATAACTGCATATATATACTCTAGTGTTTTATATTTCTGGCTAGTGGTTTCTTTCATCAAAGTCAGGAGATGCGAAAATGCTTCTGTTGGATATACAAATCAGAGATTTCATAAGTGAGTGTGTTTTGGCATAACAGTATAACACACTAAACATATTATTTACGTCGGTAGAAACTTGAAAGCGGAAAGTTTGTTCTTTTTTTCTTTTCATACACATTGATTGTTTTTGAAGAAGAGTGAATAAAATGTGATTACAACAAATTCTACAGCTTAATAATTAACTTTATCACAAAAGGGCTTATACTTGTAATTAGTAGGTACATAATATGGTCCATCCGATCAACATAATCATGCACTTTGTAGCACTTTTATGGCAATTTAAAGAAATCGCACCAACTGAAACAGGTCATACTATCAAATGCGTGTATGTATATATATATTAAAGAAAGTCAGATTTTTATAGCAAACTGTCATGAATTCTTAGTCATCTTCAGCTTATTGCTTTTTCGACAACAAATCCACTTATGTTATGACATAGACACAAAGTAAAGAAAGATGGTCGTCGCAAAGAAGATTATCTATGTGCCGAAAGTGTCAGATCATCTCTTTCTTTCCTAAAATCCAATTATTCTCTAATCCATTTGAACCGGAAAATTAAGCTTTGTAATGTGTGTTACTGAATCTAAATAATATATCTAGCTATGCAGGCGAGTCATAACACAAAAACAAGATTTGGGAACCAAGTTCTTTAACCGTATCAATCTGGAAAATATCAAACAAAATTTATATTATTTCTTCGCATGTATGATACACAAAAATGAGATGTAAGGACACCCTCATACAAGGGATGGGTATATTCTAATAGATCTCGTCGAAGGTAAAATTAAAGCTTTTACGATTTCTGATATATGAGACGATAGTAGAGTTTCTCAAAAGTTCAAAGCAAATATGAATCATGATCAATAGATGTTTTTCTCCTTTTTTCCTTTTTGTGTGTTACAGACTTTTTTCCCAATGAACTGCGAACATAAAAATTATACTTCCACGGTATGTAAGGCCTTGCAAATAATTGAGACCTACAAAATCTATGGCCACTTTTGTGAAATAACGCCCGAGCAGGCAATAAACTGATCCTATTATCAACAATATAAAGTGAAACACAAACTTTGAATAGAAACTTTTTGGGATCCCAAACTTTTTTCGTAAACTTTCATTACACCTCCAACCCCAAACTATTTCTCATGTACTACTATTGAGTTTCTTTCTCGTAAACTAATGCTTTGAATCAGAATCACTAACTCACTTAAATTATCTATTTCAAATTAATTCCACGCCAATGGTTGAATATGTGAATATGTTAACTAGTAGATTTTCTTTAATTAATAGAAACTGTGGTTTATGAATATTATCCCGTTTATAATTACTTATGGTTTAGTTGTCGGCTAAGTGATAAAAACATTTCTACTATTTGATGTTTGAGACTATTTTTAGTGTCCAGGTCTTTGCTTCATCTCAGAAGCCCATACAAAAATAATAGGCCCAAGTTAAACACACAACTCTTATGATTGTATGGTTGTGCAGACTGTATAATCATTGAAAGCAGCATTTTTTCATTAAAGTATAACAATAGTAATTTTGTGACAATTTTATGAAGAAATTATTTATCAGGAATGCACTTAGAAGTTTATAATGACTAAGAGCATTGTCAGTCAATTTCAAAGTACAAATATATTGTGTTGACAAGTTTTTGTTACTACGCGTACGAACTCTATTTCGTTGATAAAATAACAAGCAAAAACATGTGAAAATGTAAATACATAAAACATCTTAATACATAAAATTGCACCCAAAAAAGTGTTAATACATAAAACCTTCGAGAATTCGGTAAAAAAACACGAACTTTGCATGAATTGCCAAAAGAAACCTGAACTTTTGGCCTGAGCAAAAAAAACATAAACTTTTCATTGACTTTATAATTAATTGACAATGTTTTCGTTGACTTGCCAATTTGACACGCCGTCAGCAAATTTAACAGAAAAAATTAACGTTGTTAATTGTTGCCGTTAGGATGAAACAACGTCGTTTTCAATTAAGATGAAACGACGTCGTTTCAAGCGATTTGAAAATAAAAAGCCGTAGACCACTGGACTCGAACCCAAATTGATTAATCAAATTACAAGTTAGTTTACCACTGGGCTAGTGTCGCATTCAATGTACCTACTAACACATTTAGTTATATTTGGTACTCATTGAATATAAAAAAATTCTATAAAAACTTTAAAAAATCTTTAAAATTTCAAAAAATGAAAAAAATAAAGAGTTTTTTTTATAAAATTCATTTTGAAATTAAAATTAAAATATTTTTTTTTCTTTAAAAAAATCAGACGGGAACTCTTAAAATTTTATTTTTCTTACAATATATCTACTAACACATTTACTTATATTTGGTACTGATTGAATATAAAAAAATTCTATAAAAACTTTAAAAAATCTTTATAATTTCAAAAAAATGAAAAAATAAAGAGTTTTTTTTAAAAAATTAATTTTGAAACTAAAACTAAAATAAAATTTTATTTTCTTTAAAAAATAAAAAATCTTCCAAAATTTTAGTTTAAAGAAAAAATAAATTTTATATTAATTTTAAATTAATTTTATAAAAAAAAATCTTTATTTTTTCATTTTTTTTGGAAATTTTAAAGATTTTTTAAAGTTTTTATAGAATTTTTTTATATTCAATTAGTACCAAATATAAGTAAATGTGTTAATAGATACATTAAAAGAAAAATAAAATTTTATAAGTTCCCGTCTGATTTTTTAAAGAAAAATAAAATTTTATTTTAATTTTAATTTCAAAATTAATTTTATAAAAAAATTCTTTATTTTTCATTTGTTTTGAAATTTTAAAGATTTTTTAAGTTTTATAGATTTTTTTTAATATTCAATCAATACCAAATATAAGTAAACGTGTTAGTAAATACATTGAATGTTCCATTAGCCTAGTGGTAAACTACCTTGCCACTTGATCCAATCAACCCGGATTCAAACCCATGGGTCTACATCTTTTAATTTTCAAATAGCTTAATTTTAACGTCCGAGTTAACACCGTCTTAACTGTTCGTTAACGGTGTGTTAAAATGGCGAGTCAATCGTAAGTTTCTTAATAAACTAATAAAGTCAACAAAAGTTCAGGTTTCTTTTGGCCATTCGTGCAAAGTTGGTGTTTTTTTTGGTCGAATTCTCTAAAACCTTCCTATAAAGTTTGGTGGGAAATGGATGAATCAATTGGTTTAAGTTTGCCCACGTGGGAAGTGTTGGGTCACAGTTTCCTATCTACCAATCAAGTATTGGAAATCGTCTTTCCATCAACCATCATTGGGCTTCTTCTTTCCTTTGAATTTAGACATATCATAACTCCACCTTCACAAACCACTTTGTATAATAAAAAAACAAAAGAAGTTTAATTATAACATAACTCCAACAAGCATACTTCACAGTTAACATGTTTGTTTCTTTTGGGATGTGCTTTCGTAAAGGGAAAATTGGTATTAGGCATTTTTAGTATGTGTTTTGGGATGAGACGTTACTACTAAATCATAATTTTTATTTGCCTAACAAGACAATTACAACAAAATATATGGTCATAATACTCCAGTTTTTATTGGTTACATGTTAAATTTTGACGTAGATAAACACTATAAGAGCTTAATAAAAATGTTACTATTTTTATTCACGTATAAGAGTTTTCCATTCCAGAGTAAGTAATTGTCAGATAAATTTCAGAACATATGAATGATTAAATTTGGTAATAAACTAGTATAGTTTGACGATTGTTTTTTTGTTCTTGTGTTTTCTTGAATTTGTGTTTCGACTTGTTTTGGAAGTGTGAACGAAAAAGACACGTGTGTTGTGGTGTTTCACTTGTCTTCTTTTTCTTTCTTATTTGTGGTGAACCTGTTTGGAGATGTAATCAATTTGCGTTGGCAGAGAATCACGATGTTGACACGAAGGTCGATCGATCAATATGGACCTTGCATCTGAAAGCTTTTTTAATCTTGCATTTTCACAAGACCTTACATATTCCACCATAAGTAAACTTACACAAGATTATTTACTAACATCAAATCTTTTTATCATCTCACGGTTTCTAAAATGATGTTGTAAACTTAAATAGCTCGACAATATAGTTGGGGTGATCATTGAACGACGTTGACATGAGTGGTTGGCCATCTTACAACATGTCTGCGGTGGCCGCCAGGAATTTTCTTACTATACATCCTTTAATTAAAATTATTGATATCTTTTTTTTTTGAATGATGTATACTATATAGTATCTAGTATGTATAGATTATTATTATTACATAGAAGAATACCTGTTTCTTAATAAAAATACAAAAGAGTCAAAACTCATGTCAAATTTGACCAACCTACAGCTTGACAACCCTATCTCTCCCACCTCTCTCTTCTGCAACAACTAGGGTTTTAGACGTTTTCTCCGGCGGCCGCCGCCTCCATTCGCGGCCGCCGGGCCTCGGCTTCTCCTCTGTTCTTCTTCTCTGTGTTCTCCTTGTTTGTCTCTGTTCTCTGCGGCTGAGGGTGTGGTTGATTTGCGCTTCAGATCTGGTCGCTCTATGCTCAGATCTAGGGTTCATGGCGGCTGAGGCGGCTTGAGGACGGTCTCCTCCAGCGTCGTGGTCACTCTGAATTTGACGATGAGTTACTGGCGGTTTTCCCTGTGTTAGGTCAGCTACTCCGGGCGTGGTGACGCGTGCAGCACCGTCAAGCTCTTCGTTGGTCCCGTTTCTACCTCCGGTGTGGCGTCTGGGGGTGTGTGAGACTGCGTGTGGAGTTGGAGCTCTGAGTCCACCGGTTCAGGTATCTCGGTTCTCTATGTTTTGTTTGAAGTGTCGCTGTTGTGTTCTCCATGGTGGCAGCGCGTAAGGTCTCCGGTGGTAGTGGGTCAATCTGTTCCATGGGTCCTTGTGGCAGCGCGTTGGTGAGGGTTTAGCTCTGGGTTGCTCAGCTACGTCTTAGCTCCGGATCTACCTCACCCTTTAGATCAAAATGGTGTCGGTGGTTGTGGCCTGCCCGTCTCTGGCTCTACTCAAATAATCTCAGCAGCTTGGTGTTCTTGGCTAGAGGATGGTTAACGGCTCAGGATGGTTCGTGGTTTGATAGTTAGACTCCGAGTTTCGAGTGTGGCTTCGGATTTGTCTCCTCCGGAGGGTTGTCCGTTTTTTGATCTGTCCTCTCTTTTGAGGTTACAGTTAGATGGGTGTATACGGTCCCGGTGGACTGCAAAGGAGGCGGTAATCTCTGGCGCAAGATACCGAACGACGGCATCGTCAGATCACGGCTTCTCCTCGTACCGTCGGTGGTCTCTATTTTCTGGCCTACTTTGGGCTCGGGTTAGGATTCTTCTCTCGGGTAAGCTCTGGTTCTCTTTGGAAGCTGTAGGAGCCGTTGCAATCAGGGTTTGAGGGCGCCCTTCTCTCGGTAGCTCGCGGCAACCAGGTGTTTCTCATCTAATACTTGTGGTTGGTAGGTCCGGCATCATCTCGCTTTTAAACAGCTTACTCACTTGTGTTTGTGTTGTTCTCGGTTTGTTCCTTTGTTGCTGCATAGGGGTTACAGTGTTGCATTTTGTTTTTCTGCTACTTGTTTTCTATGTATCTTCTGTCAAAAATCAAAATTGGTAATAATACTTTAACATTTTACCAAAAAAAAAAAAAAAAAAAAAAAAACCTACAGCTTGACTGACTCAAGACTTCCCACGGGTCCAAGGCCATAGTGCTCGAGATATTGGCTCAGTATAATACCACGGGCTATTGAATCCCACTTAACTAGTATAATTGCTTTTTTTTTTCAAATTTATAACTGAACTTTTTTTTTGGGTGCAATATATAACTAAACTTGAGATAAAAAATGTATCTTCCTCAACAAAGAGTATAACATTCAAAAACTTATAGTAAATAAAAACCAATAATTTTAGCTATTGCAATTTGCATGAGCATTAATATTTGTTTGCCTCCCCTCTTATATGATATCTTTTCTGCACTTGAGTGTTTTTTGTCATGTTGTTCCTAATAACAAATTTTTTTACATATACAACTGCTAAAGTCTTAATACTAAAACTGTTAAAAGTTAGTTATTCAGGGTAGATTAAGCCCTAGGGTAGATAATACTAACATAAGTTAACCATGGCCAAAAAATTCAAACGCGGTAGGTCGGTTTGACCGGTCTGGTTTGGTGAGCGGTGGCAATAATCTCACCACGAAACTAAAAGCAATTATTTTTAAAAATAAATTATAAAAGTATATAACTCTCTTCTTCTTCCTCACATTTATTTTCATTTTCTCAAAGGAGTCTCTCTCTCACCTACACCACACCTAACCAACACCCTCCGATTCACAGAGAGATCTTCTTCCTCTTGGCCTAAGCACACACCATGTCCTCAACACCAATGAAAGTCTCTCCCTTTGATCTCATGTCTGCCATCATCAAAGGAGAGCCTGTCGTCGTCTCCGACCCTGCCAATGCCTCTGCTTACGAGTCCGTCGCAGCTGAATTGAGCTCAATTCTCACCGAGAATCGTAACCTCGCCATGATTGTGACTACTTCCATAGCTGCTCTCATCGGCTGCATCGTGATGCTCGTCTGGAGAAGATCCGGTGGCTCCGGGAGCTCCAAACGCGTCGAGACGACGCTTAAGCCGTTGGTGGTTAAGCCTCGTGACGAGGAGGTTGATGATGGGAGAAAGAAAGTTACTATCTTTTTTGGAACGCAGACCGGAACTGCTGAAGGGTTTGCTAAAGTGAGTTGCTTTTGATTCTAAAAACGGAGCTTTTGGTTCTAAAAACAGAGCTTTTGATTCCAAAAACAGAGCTTTGATTCTAAAAAACAGAGCTTTGATTCCAAAAACAGAGCTTTGGTTCTAAAAACAGAGTTTTGATTCCAAAAACAGAGCCTTTGATTCAAAACAGAGTGAAGAAGATGGAAAGCTAACTTTTTTTGATAATTTTTGTAGGCTTTAGGAGAAGAAGCTAAAGCAAGATACGAGAAGATCAGATTCAAAATCGTTGATTTGGTATATACCCTTTTTTAAAAAGCTCGAATCTTTTTTATTTTGTTGGTTTGGATTCTGATTGTTGTTTTGTTTTAATAGGATGATTACGCGGCTGATGATGATGAGTATGAGGAGAAGTTGAAGAAAGAGGATGTGGCTTTCTTCTTCTTAGCCACGTTAGTTTTTTTATTAAAAGCTTTGGTTTTGTATTTACTGGAGTTGCTTTGTCTGATCTTGGTTTTGCAATCTTGGTGTGTAGATATGGAGACGGTGAGCCAACGGACAATGCGGCGAGATTCTACAAATGGTTCACCGAGGTAAGTCTTTTGTTGCTTGGGGTCTATTAGTTATTGTAACGTGTGTTTCTTGTTTTTGTTTCTGAAGTTTCCACATGTGTGTTACAGGGTAATGACAGAGGAGAATGGCTGAAAAATTTGAAGTACGGTGTGTTTGGATTAGGAAACAGACAATATGAACATTTTAATAAGGTTTTTATTTATTATATCATCTTGTTATACTTATTATAATGGTTTCGTCCAATACTTTGGACCACCGAGCTAATATTTGTTTTTTTGTAAATCTGTGTTGCAGGTTGCCAAAGTTGTAGATGACATTCTTGTCGAACAAGGTTTGTCTGTTTCTTTATTTTCATCATTCGTTTTGATGTGTGTTTATATTATTGTTTTTTAACTTGATGACTTGGTGTGTTCAGGTGCACAGCGTCTTGTACCTGTTGGTCTTGGAGATGATGACCAGTGTATTGAAGATGACTTTACCGCATGGTATTTTACTTGATCTATGTACATTGCTAATTTTGACATCTGTTTTTTTAAAAAAAAAATCTAAGCTCAGTTTGTTATCTTCTCTTGCAGGAGAGAAGCATTGTGGCCTGAATTGGATACATTGCTGAGGGAAGAAGGCGATACAGCTGTTACACCATACACTGCTGCTGTGCTAGAATACAGAGTTTCTATTCACAACTCTGAAGATGCCTTGAGTGAGAAAAACATGGCCAATGGGAATGGTCAAGTCGTGTTTGATGCTCAACATCCTTACAGGTGCGCTCAGCTTCTTCTTCTTTTCTTCCTTACAATATTGACTTATCAGTTTGATTTAATCAGTGCTTTGTTTTGTTGATTTTAAAGGGCAAATGTTGCTGTGAGAAGGGAGCTTCATACACCAGAGTCTGACCGTTCTTGCACCCATCTGGAGTTTGACATCGCCGGAAGTGGACTGACGTGAGTTTTACTAACGAACCAGAGGGAACATTCTTTGAGAAATAACATAATTAACATATAATATTATTGACTGTCAGGTATGAAACTGGAGATCATGTTGGTGTACTCTGTGATAACTTGAATGAAACTGTGGAGGAAGCGCTTAGGTTGCTGGATATGTCACCTGATACTTATTTCTCTCTTCACTCTGATAAAGAAGATGGCACACCAATCAGCAGCTCTCTTCCTCCTCCATTCCCACCTTGCAACTTGAGAACAGCGCTTACACGATATACTTGTCTTTTGAGTTCTCCTAAGAAGGTTGGTTGGATTGATTCACATCTAATTTCTCTTGTCTTCATACATTGATATTTTTAAACTCATTTGTCTTCACTCTTGATCTTCTTGCAGTCCGCTTTAGTTGCTTTGGCTGCTCATGCATCTGATCCTACCGAAGCAGAGCGATTAAAACACCTTGCTTCACCTGCTGGAAAGGTTTGCGCCAGTCTGCTGTTCTTGATCTTCCAGTCTCTGGCAAGTATTATAATTGTTTTATCTGTTTTCAAAACCAGGATGAATATTCAAAGTGGGTAGTGGAGAGTCAAAGGAGTCTACTCGAGGTGATGGCTGAGTTTCCTTCAGCTAAGCCACCACTTGGTGTCTTCTTTGCTGCAGTTGCTCCGAGGTTGCAGCCGAGGTTCTATTCAATTTCATCATCTCCCAAGTGAGTTACTTCTCATTGTTTTCTTGGTCTTTTGTTTTCAGAGACGTTTCTGGTAGTTTTAGTGTATTGACCATTGTTCTGTTTACTTGTATAGGATTGCTGAGACTAGAATTCATGTCACATGTGCACTTGTACATGAGAAGATGCCAACCGGCAGGATTCATAAGGGAGTGTGTTCGACTTGGATGAAGGTAACAAAAGACTTGTGTTCTTGCAAAACATATCTCAATGCGATGTTTTTGTTGTTTATGCCATTCCTGAGCTTTTTTTGTTGCGTTGTAATAACAGAATGCTATACCTTATGAGAAGAGTGAGAACTGTTCCTCAGCGCCAATATTTGTGAGGCAATCCAACTTCAAGCTTCCTTCAGATTCTAAGGTGCCAATCATCATGATCGGTCCAGGGACAGGATTGGCTCCATTCAGAGGTTTCCTTCAGGAAAGGCTCGCGTTGGTAGAATCTGGTGTTGAACTTGGACCATCAGTTTTGTTCTTTGGATGCAGAAACCGTAGAATGGTAATAACTAAGCCATTTCTCAACACTCAAAACTTATCATCATCATCATCTGTATGTTCAGTTTCTCAAGCCTTCTACTCATATAATACAGGACTTCATCTACGAGGAAGAGCTCCAGCAATTTCTAGAGACTGGTGCACTCTCAGAGCTAAGCGTCGCCTTCTCTCGTGAGGGACCAACCAAAGAATATGTACAGCACAAGATGATGGACAAGGTATGTCTTAAGTTCTCAGCTTAATATGTACACTCTGATCTTCAGATTCTTGAGAACTGACAATTTTTTTTAATGATATGTAGGCTTCTGATATCTGGAACATGATCTCTGAAGGAGCTTATGTATATGTATGTGGTGACGCCAAAGGCATGGCAAGAGACGTTCATAGATCTCTCCACACCATAGCTCAAGAACAGGTTCGCATGAGACTCAAAGTCTTAAGAAAACATCAATCTCAACCGCCATCACAAAGTCTTGAGAGGGTTCTTACTTACATCATTGTCTTTGTTTTTGCAGGGATCAATGGATTCTACAAAAGCGGAGAGCTTTGTGAAGAATCTGCAAATGAGTGGAAGATATCTTAGAGATGTATGGTAACGAGGCTGTTGAAGCTCCCTCACACATCTCACTGTGTACTTATATATAGAAAATGCCACAACATGATCATTAAGTTGTGGTCTCAAGAGTGAATAAACCTCCTCTTTCTCCATTTTTAATTTAGTTGATTTCATATAATATTTTGACAATTATATTTTTTCAAATCTTGTTATATAGTCCCCACACACACGAAAGAACACCAAAAAAAAAAACGCATAAGATGTGATGTGGTATTTGTGAAACAGTTGTGTTATATACAAAGTCTGTACTCCTTTGGTTTATGTAGTAGCAACATTTTGGGACATAGATTGTAATAATATATGCCTCTGTTGTTATTATCACAAACTGTAAATCGCTCTTTAACTTCTTAGAATCATAAAATAATTTGCTGTATCCATAAAATACATAACTACATGTGCTTTACATGCATACATTATAAGTAACACACAGAATTTCTTAAGTAGACTTTTAATTGATTTTTGGGTCAACCACTTGACTATTTCACTTAAGTGAACTCACGGTTTTAAGCTATTTAGTATTATAATTGTTCCAAAAAAAAAGAAGCTATTTAGTATTATAAGAGCATGTGCATTGAGGGTTCATAAGGAGTTTATAAGGAGGTTCACACAGTTTTCTAGATGAACAGTGATGAGCTTCTCTCTCCAAAAGTTCATCCCGGTGAACCCCAAGAGGGTGGAGTTCACCACGTGTCGGAAGGGGATTGGTTCAATTAATTTTTTTTTAATTTTTTTTTAAAAAAAAATCTGACAGAAAAAAATAAAATAATAAAATATTAAAAAGATGAACCCCAAGAGGGGTTCATTGATGTAAATTGGTCAAGATCTTGTGTTTTTTTTAATAGAACACAAATTGGGGAAACAGTGAAGAGGGAAAAAAGAGTTATGTCGCAATACTTTGAATGTAGAGAGTCAACTAATAATGATTATGGATGGTTGAAAGTTGAACCGAAGTGATTTTTGGTGGTTGAGAAATATTATAGTAAAACGAAAAATAGAAAAATAAGATGAGTGGAATAAGGTAGGTGAAGTGGGAGCATTATTCACTACTGTAGATGTGATTTAGTAGCACGTGAGTTACAATGATACGTGCTAAGTGAAGTTGGTGGAGGATGCGATACACTCTTGACTCTCCAACATGTTTCTTTCCTCTTTCAACAACCTTTTTGGGCTTGTGTGTATTTCTCATAAACTAGTCTTCTTATTGATTTAGTACTTGTTAACTAAAGTGTGTAACAATAGATTAAGGGATTACGACTGCATACACGATGATGCTATGCCCACGTACAGTTTGTAGGAATCGATCATCGGCGTTTGTTGACATGGTTACTAGTACCATCTTCTTTGTTGATAAAAAGAAGACGTCTGATCAAGTGGACACTGTCACATGACTCACATTGGTAGGTGATGCGCATGTGTAAATGATCCCACATGATTGCATAATTGATTTCTGTATTTCACATCCAAATTTTGTTGGAAACACAAATCGCTCTTCGATCTCTCTTAGAGTTTTTGGTTGGGGCCGGCTAACAGATTCGTTGCGAGGTGCGAGTCGTCGTGATATTTCTTAATGGCCTATTATTACATTTCGGCCCATTTTGAACTCTGCCTCTAAAGTCATTATTACTAGATATATTTATGTATACAGCCCAAAATAACAATTATGATTTGTTTGGGCTTGCCAACACACAGTACAAATAACTTTTTCAAAGTACGTTCACCTTTCTTGTTTTTGACGTTTCATTTTTATTTTGAAGAAAATACTAATAAAAAGGTCCACTACTACTTCTATTGACTTTCAGCTTTACCGAACAAAAAAATTAACTGCATTGACTTTCAACTTTACTGAACAAAAAATTAGCCGGCGTTCTCTTTGATCATCCAACTAATACTTCATATTATTTATACGCCTGTAGAATTCAAAATTATATATTAATCCAAATTCAAATGACTAACACGAGTTGTTCACGTATATGACAAAAGAATTTGGGTGAACCACCCATTATATTATTTTTTCAATTGATATCGATTCACCTAGTGCAGAGTTTTTGTCATTTTCAGGTTAGTTCAAAAATAAATAAAATAAATAAAATGTTCTCTTTTTTTATAACGTCTAATAAAATGTTCTCTTATTACGATAAAGAAACACGCTTATAAGTAATAAATATAGTTATCATATCATGCTTTTTCACGTTGAACAAAACGAAAACTTTTTGGTGAACTCCTGTGTGAATCACCATTATACTTTTTGCGTTTAAAGATAATAGTAGCATCGCACCATATAAAATTGTTATAAAAAAGGAAAACAAATCAAACTTTGTGGTCAAGCAATGTGGATATGAGTAACTTAATTATGACTTGTGCCTTGAAGCGTAAGTTGATGTAAGTTGAAAACGAAAGGAAAAAGTGTAGTTTGTGGCTCTAACTGCTTTCATTTAGTAATGTTCTGTAACAATTGATTACCTTTCATTACTCTTCCACGAGTTTTTTTCTTTAATTTCTTTCTTTTAAAATCCTAGAGCAGTTAAGTGCCTTGAAAATCTGCTGCAACTAAAAGTAGGAAATAAATAAAGTATTTCATTTTCTAAACTATACTATTTTGTAACAATTAATACATACTGAAATATTGGTATTTCCAACTTGGAAAATTAGTTGCGCAATATTCTGCGTTAGAAAATTATAAACTATAAAGTTTTCTAAACTAGAGCTTCATATCACTGTTTCATAGAAATTCAAAATCGATTGGGTAAAAAGTTAAGTAATGTTTTTGACTATCACTATCATTCTAGACCATGCTTTTGGATCACACAATTTCTTAGACGAAATAAAGCATAAATCAATAAGATGATCATGTGAATGATTTCACCAAAAAATGATCATGTGAATTACATATAGAGAATAGCGTCACTAATCTTACACGCTATGAATATTTTATTGGTTCATGTATAAGTAAACAACCTCTTGGGTGAATTCGTAGCAAGGTTTTGATTAACAAAACAGCATCTCTGATAATTATTTACTAGGTGGTTGTTCTGTTCGTAGAGTAGTAAACATGTACAATTAAAGAAAAAACTATTGAACCAAATTTACTTATGCTACAGTTTCAATATATAACTGAATATATTGTCTTCATATTTAAAACTTAGTAATATGGTAGCTTAGTTGAGTCTTTTCTTTATGAGAAAATAGTTTACTAATTTTAATGTTAAATTTGAGGTTTTGGGAAAATTATGGGTAAACAAGTTAATCGACGATGTTTGAGATTGTCTGTAGTGGATGATAGAGAGTATACTATTTACAGGCTATATAGATTTCTCAAAATATGTAAATTGGATATGCGATTGGTGTGATCTATACATGTAATGATATTTTTACATAGAACATAAACTGATTTTCCAAAGTATAAGGATGCTTTGTTACAATGATGATGTTGGTAACTTGCAATTATGATTTCTAGAATAGGATGGGACTAGGATGTAAACAAAAATGTTATCATATTTATTTTATTCGTTAAAAAAATTGAAACAGTAGTATATATATGCATGTGTGTGTTATGACAAAATCTTGAAACTTTCAAAATCTTTCTCTATTTCCCTAAAAAGACATGGAAACTTCACAAAACACCAATCTCCAAAACCCTAAACCCTCAGACCCGTATGATCTTCCCGTCAATGCCGAAAAAACCTACTCCACCGCCACCACAACCACCACAGAAGACCAACGTAAACGATCAATAGAGCTTTTTGAGTTCCTGACTTCAACTTCCAACGACTGTTCTCCGGCAGAAAACATAATATTCGGAGGCAAAATCATCCCCTTAAATTACCAAAATGCCATTCTTTCCTCTCCCGAGTACATCCGCCCTCGCATAAGCACTAGATCCGAGTCCTTATCCGCTATACAAGGCAACAAGCTCATCCATCCCGTGGCACGTGACAATGCAAGACCCATAAGGATAAGCCGTTCTTTAGATCATCGCAACCTCACACGTGGAGATGCTTCTCCGACAAGGAGTAAGACAAAGCCTGAAACGGTCTCATCTGGAAATAAAAAAAGTATTAAACCGAGATGGTACGTGATTATGTTTGGAATGGTTAAGTTCACACCGGAGACTGAACTGAGGAATATAAAGAGCCGTCAGGTTCGCCGGAGTGTTCCACCGGTTATGTTCCCGTCTCCTGCTGACCGGAGACCTCGTAGGACTCGAGGGTCATCATCACCGTCTCCTTCTTGGAGGTTGCTCAACGCCTTGAGTTGCAAGGAGCCCACAAGTGTCGCTGCCACGGCACCACTTTGGTTTCCACATGCTTAATTTACTATATTTAACCTTAAGAACCATTGTGTGTGGCTACGTACTCGCTTTGCCGTCGACTGAGAGGGAGATAATCGTCGTTTAGTATAAGATAAATGGATATTGTAATTTATTTTGTGAAAGAATGTCGATATTGTATTTCTTTTTTGGGGTAAAAGTCGATATTGTAATCTATTATTAGGTGTTTTGCCCGCACATGCGGACTTAATTATCTTTAAATCAATTTAAAATAATCAAAATAAATGATTATTTACATCTAAAAAATTGAACCTAAAACATTAAACTTTTTAGCATGATAACGTTTTTCACAAATTAAAAAAAAAATTCTATTTTTTCTTTTAAACTTTAAAAAATCTAAAGTCCATTTCCTTTCTTCTTAATTGATAATAATACAGAAATCTATCTTCCAATTTGAAAAATTGAATCGATAACTATACATTCGAAAATTGATCTTACAGAAAGAATAGTATTAGTTTGGATAATAATACAATATATTTAAAATTTATTTTTCTCAAATATGTATTTTCTTTCTTTTTGAATGATCTTTTATTTTATTATGATTAATTCATATTTAAGGTTTAATTATATAAAATATAAGAATAAATTTAATTTAATGTGTGAGTACAGAGACAAAAAATAACTTCACAAATATATATTGTTATATTATATTATTATATTCTTTTAATTTGTAAATAATTACGTATTCTAATATTTTAAATTTTGTATTTTAATTATATACAATCAAAATTTTTACCTCTATGAATATTTATTTATGTTTTTTATGTTTTTGATTTTTTTTATTAAATATATTTTCCAGATAACAACACAATATATATAGGAATTATCTTTTTTATTTTTAAATATATATTTAGATTATGGATAATTCTTATCATTATTATTAATTTAAATCATTTATCTAATCTAATAAATATTAAATTCGTTTTTATTATTGGCTGATTTATATATTTATTCATTAAGGGTATAAACGATATTAACTACTCTAACTTTTAATGTGAGAGTTTCGTTGCGAAAAATCACTTCGCATCTTTTAATTTGAAAATAATCATGTATTATATTTTTAAAAATTTTATATTTTCAGTTATATACAATTAAAAAATTTACTTTATGAATATTTATTCATGTTTTTCTGTTTTTAAATTTTTTAATTAAATATATTTTCTGGATAACAACATAATATATAAGAATTATGGATAATTCTAATTTAGATTATGGATAATTCTTATATAGATTATGGATAATTATTATTGTTATTATTAATTTAAATTATTTATCTAATCAAATAAATATTAAATTCTTTTTTATTATTGGCTGATTTATATATTTATTCATAAAGGGTATAAACGATATTAACCGATTCAACTTTCAACGTGAGAGCTCCGTTGCAAAAAATCACTTCGCAAATAATAGTATAGATTTGTTAAAGCAAAATCGATAATACAGTAACACCTCTATAAATTAACAATGTTGGGATTTTGAAATTTTATTAATTTATAAAAATATTAATTTACAAAATTTTCTTATATAGATTTTTTATTTTTAAAATATATTTATTCTAAGATAAGAAAAATATGGGATTTTGATTTACAGACATTAATTATTATTTTGTAAATTTGACATTTATATTAATTTTATTATATTATTTGGTGTATATAATATATATTTTATAGAATTTAAATGTGATTTTAGATAAAATATTTTTAAATCTCATCAAAATATATAAAGTGTTAAGAAAATATTATTAATCTATAATTTTATTGGGACTATATATATATATATATAGAATTTCCTAAAAAATATTATCATATTATTTTATTAATTTATGTTAAATTTTGAACTGGTCCAAATTGGAGTCGACAAAATTTATTAATTTATAAAAATTATTAATTTATCGAATATTAATTTATAGAGGTTTTACTATATGTTAGACCATATAATATATCTTCCTCCTTCCTTTTTCTTTATGTTACATACATTTTTGTATTTCAGCTTATTTGTTTGAACTTTTGAATATATATTTTAAGACAATCGTCCATATTTTTTTTTTGCAACTTTTAAACCGGTTAGGTAGTGGAGGAATGAATGATGATCAGAACTGGCACGAGAAGGACATGAGCAAAATTTATTACCTTACTTTTTTCTCTCTGCGACTAGTCGATTTTTGTGATAAAGACAGAAAATTATATAGTTTTGTTAGCATTTATTTGTGCTTCTAAATGCTTGGTTGATATATGGTATGATAAATTGATAATTCAAATTCCAATCTTATAGACTGTGACGTCCACCGTCTTTTTGTCCAAGAGACTTGTAGAATTAAAAATCCATTTCACCATATTCATGTGTATATGAAACTACTAAACAAAACGGTAAGAAAACGTTACTTTTGTCTTGCGAATCTCTTATTTGCGACTTTGGATATTTGTCTCATTGTGTTATCAAAAATATCATATGCAGGTTACCAATCATAAGCAATTATCAATCATGATCAGTCATATTTTCACTATAATAGTAAATATATCTTTCATTAGAATTGACCTAAACTGATAGCTAGTTTTGGGCTGTAATGAGCATTTTTAAAAAGAAGATCAGACACTTGACTCGAACCATACACTTGCCGACGTAAGGGAAAGGGGTCCAGGGGACACAGATTGTCTGCTCCAAAACATTATCTACGAGACAAATAAACACTAGACTCTAGAGATATCATTAAACACAACACGCATAGTGTTACTTCAGGGACACGTCTAAAGAATTTGAATCAAGTAGCATCTAGCGTATGCGGTCAAATACAGAATCAACATGATTGGTTTAGAATACTTAAGAGCAATGAACTACAGATTCTAAAAGTTCATTCATCTGTTGATCTTAATTGAGAGTTTCCGAAATCCATACTCAAAAAATTTCTCAAGATTTTATACTGGTTGCAAAACACCATACTCAAAAATCCAATTTTCAAAGGACCATAGTGAACTTCAACAACCTTAGCCGCATCGATTTGTAACAACAACACACGAATCTTTTTAGTATACTTTTACAAAATAGACCTACGAAGTTACAAGTTCCTATATATGTTTCCTTGAGGATAAAAGAAAGTTAAAAGAAAGCAGGCTTGTTCTTCTTTGTTTCTTGACAAAGCCTTTTTATCTCTCATCTTTCTTGAGGGATGTTGAATCATGTAGCATCTAAGATGTGAGAGCAGCACGTAACAATCTGTAAAAAAAAAGATGTAACGTTTAAAGACTGTTGTACAAATCTGTCAAGTTAATGATTTAGATTTTCAGAAATACTATTCACCTTGTCAAATTTTCTTGAGAGTTTCCGAAACCAAACTTAAGTTCTCAAGACTAGTAAACTCGAAACAATACTGCAAAATGGAAATAAACAAAGACGGAAACTGGTCGTGTTAGAGAACAATGGTGTGGTGTAACTCATGAGAAGCAAGAGAAGATGGGACTCACATAGAAGAAACAAGATTAGCGTGAAGGAAAGAATGAGCTGGACCGGTCTGCTAAATGGAACACGAAACCGCCTTTGATAATGTCTGACTCTATCAAAGATCTGCAAAAAAATGATAAAACAACTAAGAACTATAATCAAATACCATTGTATATAGAGATGAATGAAGCTTACAAGGTTATTATAATCACGACATCTCTGCATCGAAAACAGAGGTTTAGATCCTTTCTCTTTAGGAGTATCTTCAACGTCAAACACAAGTCTCTTCTTCTCCTCTTCTTCCTCCACATCAACAGGAACATTAACCCTCAACGCAGTTACATTAGTAACATTCGGTGAACTCCATGTTCTTCTTGTCCCCAACCTTTTATCACGTATTATAGCATCACCACTCTCTGGGCTACCTCCCTCATCAATATCTATCACACAGCTATTGACCCCACGTGGATTCTCAGCTAAAGAGCTTGTTGAGGAGTCTCTAAAGTTGATGCTACTCTCCGAAGTCAGAGAAGAGCCAGAGAGAAACATGGCAAGATCATCACGCTCTTCTTTGTTAAGATCAACCAAACGCAAAGGCTGTTTCCCGTTCTCTCTCAAAGCTTCTTGCAATGCAGATTGTACTCTGTAAATCTGGTTTTCAATAGCGTTGACAAACTGTTTATGTCTAGTTAATGTCGTGTCGTCTCGACAATGTCCATGGCTTAACCTCACTGCTCTCTCAAACTCTTCAAGCTGATTCAAAAATTACAACAATACACTCATTTAATAATGAACAAAAAGGAACATGTTTTGTGTGAACAAGGTTTATATGTCAGAACCTGCCATTTAGCAGTGCTCAAAGCTGCTTGAAGTTCAATGCAGAGCTGGTCCGATTCTACAGTAACTCGACCTTGTTTCTTCTCTTTAATCCACAACCTATACGCAGATTCCATTCTGGAAAATACAGACAAATAGATCACTACTTTCAATAACTTCACAAAAAAAAAACTGAAACTTGATAACTCAATTCCTTAATCTATTTCCTAAAAATCAAATTACACATAAAGTCCTCACCTTTGAATAATCAATCTAAAAGAAACCTATAAAGACTAAGACTTTCAATATCACAAGCTACATATAGACCAATCAAACATGAGATTAAAACAAAAAGAACATTACGTATCGGCAGATTCTTGAACCTCCTCTGCTGCGGAGAAAAAAACATCCTTTTGCCAAAGATCGAAGCTGTTTGCTACCATCATCTTTCACCAATTAAGAAGATTCAACCAAAAGGTTTTACACAGCAAAAACCTTATCGGAGATTTATCTTCGATAGATTCTCCGTTTCTCTTCTCTTCTCTTCTTACTTTTTCTTCTACAAGAAAGAAGGAATTTTTCTTTTTCTTCCAGCTTTCTGTGTTGTTTTTGTTTGTTAATTGGTCTGATCTTTTTTTTTTCGTTTCTTCACTTTTAATTTAATAAAAACGTTAATGGGAAGGTGGAATAAAAAGAAGATTAACATGTTTCGTAAATAACTTGTTTTTAATTGGAAGACAGTGTATGATAGTATGGTCGTACCCGCACTGGATTATAACTTGGCGTTAGGAATAGAGAGAACATCAAAGGGATGTTGGTTTTTGGGCCCCACCCACTTGTCCCTCAACAAACATCCATCGTTAGCTTAAGCCAACTCAAATGGAATTATTTACAAGAGTCAAATGCCTAATCACGCATTCTCAGTTTTTCTCCCCAAATTAATTAACTCGATGGTGATTTAAGTTATGGAGGGTAGCATGTCTAACGTTTGTGATGGCAAATTTTCAACTCATTTATAACACACTAATAAAATAAGTAAGTCCAAAAATTTATACAATGAATTTTGAATCACTGTAATACGATTATTACAACATGATAAGTGCCAATTTGCTCCTGTTACCCTTTGCTCGAATCTCACCATATCTTGCATTCATTGGTTTGTCATCGTCGTTCTTCTGTATTCAAGAAGATTCTGATTACATTGTTACTAAATTTCTACTTATTTTAGCTTCTTTCACCGGCCAATGAGATTCATTGGAAAGTAGAACTATAAGAAAATGAAACATATAGTTTTTTAGCTTCTTTGACCAGCAATACGGCATTGGCAAAATTTTGAACAATCTTTGTCCATGTGCTGGAAAATAGGAGATTTGAGCATTGAGTGCTGCGGGGGAATCTGTTCCTGGACCTGCGCGGGAATGTGCTCATCCTCAGCGGCGTCTTGTTTTGGTGGATTCTCATATCCAGCTCTTGATTCAAAAATGACTTCTCCACCAAGCACTTGAGCAGGGACAACTTCATCAGCATGTTTGGGGAGCGAATAGCCACTTGGTTATCAAGTTAGAGAGTGAATGGTTGGGTTTGAATAAACCGTGAGATAGGACTTCCTTGATCACAGGACAGCTACGTGCGTGCTTCAGATACTCCTCTATAAAACGTCTTTCAAAAGTCTGAAACCAAAATAGCCAAACAACATCGCAAATTGTGTACATCTATACTATTATTTAAGAAGTAAATTTGCTTAGTTGTCATGCTCTCCATAAGTTTAGGTAATTTTGTTTATTTATCATATTTTTAATATTATATATAATTTATTTATAAATAAAACGAATTTATATGAATATATCATATTTTAGAAAATAAGATAATTCTTGTGAATTATGTTGTTATCTAGAAATATATTTTTAGAGTTATCTTATTATCTAGAAATATATTTTTATATATAAAACTTAAAAAGATAATTCTTATGTATTATGTTGTTATGTTGAAAATATATTTTTCTATTATAAAACTTAAAATTAAGATATAAAAATATATACTATTATTTAAGAAGTGAATTTGATGTTTGTTGATTTGTCATATTTTCCATGATTTTAAGTAATTTTGATAATTTATCATAATTTCTATAATTTTATATATAATTTATTATCTTATTAAAAAAAATATTAATAGTATCAGATTCTTAGAAAATAAGATATTTCTTATCTATTAAGTTGTTCTCTTGAAAATATATTTTTGTATTATATATTTAAAATTAAGATATAAAAAGTTGTAATTATTCTTATGTATTATGTTTTTATCTTGAAAATATACTTCTATATTATATAATTTAAAAGTAAAATAGAAAATTATCTATTATTAGTTAAATATAAATTATCACTCAAGAAAAAATATTTAAGAAGTGAATTTGCTGATTCATTAAGTTCTCCATGATTTTATGTAATTTTAATTATATGTCATAATTTTTATAATCTTAAATAATTAAAAAAATTACCATATTATATTTTTAGAAAATAAATAACTTATGGATTATATTTTTATCTTTAAAATATGTTTTCTATTATAAAATTAAAATTAAGATATAAAAATTACAATTAAATATAAATTAAGTAAAATATTTGTATAAATATTATAATTAAATATAAATCAAGCAAAATAATCATAGAATATATTCTTTTAAATATTTCTGAAATTTGAATTTTGTCATTAATAATTATTTGATGTTTGATTTTTACTTTTTGAAAACATAAATAATAACTTATTATGCTGATTTTTAAATTAATGAAACATCAACTAATAAATATTTATAAGAGAATTATGCCCGCAAGTGCGGGCAAAACACATAGTAAACAATTAAAAAAACATACCCTCTTTCATAAAAAAATATATTACAAATATCATTATTACTACAAAACAATAAACAAAATAATACTAAGGAAATGAAGCAAATCAAATAATGCAACTGTACATTTTCATAGTTTATCATTCCATTTAATTCATATAGATTATGTAATTGCTAAAAATAGGATCAAGTAATACGAGAAGTTAGGAAGGATCCAATACTTGAGGGAGATTTTAAGGAGATCTGACTCTGAGATTAAACCAAAGTGAAAAATATTCGATTTTCAGAGAGATAGAAATAGAGAGAGATGCCAAGAAGGCAGAAGAAAACGGCTAAGGTGGTTACAGGAGTGATGGCACTGTGCATGGTTGCTTACATCGCAGGACCGTCTCTGTATTGGCATCTTAACGAGACCATTGCAGAGTCTCTCCACTCTTGTCCTCCTTGTCTTTGTGACTGTTCTTCTCAGCCTCTCCTCTACATCCCTGAAGGTAATCATCATCACCAATACCATCCTTCTCTTCTTCCTTTGCAAGTGATTAAAAAAATAGATTATTGATGTGTTTGATTTTTCTTCTACAGGGTTGAGCAATCATAGCTTCCTAGGTGAGTGTTTTCTAGCAATGCCTTTGATGTAGAGACTGATAAAAAACTTATGTTTTTTTTTTATTTCATTGTCGAGATTGTATGAGACGAGAGGAAGGGAATGAAGAGAACGAGAGTAGTTTCACGGATATGGTGGCTGAAGAGCTGAAGCTGAGAGAAGCACAAGCACAAGAAGACGAATGGCGTGCAGACAGGTTGTTGTTAGATGCTAAGAAAGCGGCGTCTCAGTATCAGAAAGAGGCTGATAAGTGCAGCATGGGGATGGAGACTTGTGAGCTAGCAAGAGAGAAGTCAGAGGCGACCTTAGACGAGCAGAGAAGATTGTCTTACATGTGGGAGCTTCGAGCTCGGCAAAACGGATGGAAAGATGGACCTAACATTGTTTCCTCTGATGTTATCTAACCATTAGTTAAATGTTTTTATTGTTTCTATATATTTGAAACTCTTTGACAAAGATTTTGAATTAGCACAAGGGGAAAATGTTGTCCATTTGACAGTTTCTGAAAGTGTTTTCTACAATGATGCATTAACCAATGTTTTTCTGGTATAAAAGTAAGCACTACTCTGGGTTTTGACTGTGATTATCACCAAAATGGATAAACCTTATATTATATGATTGTAACGATCGTAAATTATAACATTTTGACCGAACAAACAAAACAGAATAAAAGGCAACCTTAATGCAAAAAAAAAAAAAACACATGAACCATTAGACAATGATCCTACCGTTGTCTCTTCTTCACTTGTCTGCATCTTCATCTCCATCTTTTTCAACTTGAAACCCAAAAAACTCTATGTTTCTATTGGGACTATCCAAAGCTCTCTTCTCTTGTTCCTCCTCTGCTTCTTCCTCTTCTTCTCCTTCTCCTTCCTCTTTCTTCTTCTTCCTCTTCACTCCACCACTCTTCCTCCTCCTCACAACTCTCTCCTTCAACACACACAAAAGCTCCCTCACCGCCTTCTCCGCATCACTCCTATTCCTAATCAACACCTCACTAACATCAGCCGGAGTAATCTCCGCCTCCTCAACACACTCCTCCATCTCCTTCAAAACAACACCGTCAACATCCTCCTCCTCCATCCTCAAATAATTCTTCAACAAAATCTTCAACGCTTGAAACCTACAAAACCCCATGTGAATATGCATATCCATCCTCCCACTCCTCAACAAAGCAGAATCCAACTTCTCAATATGATTAGTCGTGAACACAAATAACCTCTCACTCCCACAACAAGACCAAAGCCCATCAGTAAAATTCAAAAGCCCCGAGAGCGTCACCGAACTCCCCGGTTCATCCATCAAACCCGACCCGTTAGTCAAATCCGGGTCATAACACCCGTTATTATTACTCTTCTTCTTAACAACCTTCTCTCTTTTCGTCAAACTAACCGAACAGTCGATGTCTTCTATAACAATTATCGACTTAGAATTAGTCTTCATCAACAACTTCCTCAACTCCGAGTTATTCTGAACCTCAGTGAGCTCAAGATCATAAATATCATACCCGAGATAATTCGCCATTGCAGCAATCAAGCTAGACTTTCCTGTCCCTGGCGGTCCGTACAACAAATAACCTCTCTTCCAAGCTCTCCCTGTCTTCTGGTAAAATCCTTGTCCGTTCGCGAACTCTCTCAGATCCTCCATGATCCTCTCCTTCTTCTCTGGTTCCATCGCAAGCGTCTCGAACGTGCTAGGATGCTTGAACCTCACCGAGTCCCACGGATGTGACCTCGAGTCCAACGAGACGCCTCTTGAGTTAGTGTAGAGAAGCCTCTCCTCGTTCCTCCGGCGAATCTCCTCTGCTTTTGAGACTATGTAGTCGAGGTAAGAGTCTAGTACGAGGCTTTTGTCTCTCTTGTTGATCTGTAGCGTGAAGCCTCGTTTCTCCTCAGGCATTGGTCTCCACGAGAAGCTCTGGACCTGACGCTGGACGACGACGTGTTCCCAGAGGACAGTGACGCCGTTGAAGACGTCGGTGATCCTGTCGTTGTTGGAGAGGCCGAAGGTGACGGAGGTTGAGTTAGGGACGCGCGTGAGGCTGAGACGCGTGTTGCTGGTGGTGGAAACGGCGTTGGGGACGGTGACGGAGGAGCTTAGGTAGAGGCTGACGGCGTTGTAGAGCTCGTTGGTGTTGACGCCGTCTATCTCCGTTATGTCGAAGTAAGTGTGGGAGGAGAACACGTGGCGCATACGTGTCAGGAGGTGGATGAAGGCGAGGCGGAGCTCAGGTGGGAAAACGAGTTGGAGGATTGTTTGACAGAAGGCTAACATGCCGACAAGTGAAGCCATTGTCGTCCAATAATCACTCATCTTCATTTCTTCTTTGCTCTGTTTTTTTGTAGAAACAGAGTTGAGAATTTTTTTTTAAGGAACTGACTTTTTTTTAAGTTCTTGAGATTTGGGAGGGAAAGGCTTTTGAGAGAGAGACGTTGGTGGGTTTTTTTTTATTGGAATATGAAAGGAGGAGATGCTTCAATTTATAGACAATGAGAGGTGTTATTTTAGTATTTTACTGATACTATATAAGCAACTCTATTTCTCAATTATTTTCATAGGTCTATGGTTTCTCTAGACTTCGAAATCAGTAACATCCAAGAGGTAGTGTTTATGTGACATGTAAATTTCACATCGTGTACTATCCCACTTTGTGTTTTTGTCCCAAGATGTGATAAAGATTAAGTTAATAAGTTTTGGAGGAAAAAAGTTGAACAACTTGAAAGTGTGATGAATGAGAGAATATAGAGGACAGTCCTGGAGAAACAGATGAGTTTTTGTAACTATTTACACTGAATGAATCGGACAAACAAGTACAATGGGAAAAACATCATAAAGGACAAGAAACAGCTAGAAATTCTGAACAGTGGAAGAGGGTAAGTTTCTAAGAGACAGCCAAGAACTGGTAACTTAGCTGGATTGGTTGTATCTAGTTAGATGTATTGTTTTATTGATTGGTTCTAGTGTTCATTCCATCTTATTATTACCAGTCATTTTCTTGGTCACTACGGACAATTTGATTACTATAAAGAACATAAGTTTTAACACATATAAACTCAGATTACAAACGTTCAAAAGCATGGAAAGAAACTTGCAAAAAGGACACTTAAACATAATCTATAGCTAGTACCATGGTATCTCTTAAACTGAATCAGTTTCACCATATATAGAACTTGGAGGTCTATACCAATATGGCAAGGAAAGAGATTATCATATTTAAGGGCAATGGATACAAGAAGTAATGATCATTGTAGTGTTGCCTTTTTGAAAATTGAGAAGTAGTAAAAGCAAATTAGGGAACATGAGGGTCTAGTTTAGGGTTTGTGAGTGTGACTTACAATTGGGTTTGTGTTGTTTTGTTGGGATTTTGTGATTTTATTCTTTAGGACACTCGAATTTACGTGGGACATCATTGTTTGTCTACATTTGCATATCAACATCTATCACCATAATACTCAAAACTCTTTCAACTTTCTTTCACATCTCCATCTAATTCCAGCATTGATAAACCTCATCGCAATCCCAAATTAGCTAAAAGCACTTTTTAATCAATATATATGTTCGACTCCGAGATTAACGGGTATAATCAAGCTTAAATAATATAAGCATTACTTTTGTAACATGATAGAATTCGGGTTCTTGGGCTGTATTTTTAAGACTCCATATGTAGAAATTATTATGATTGTAGCAACAAGCCTGGCTGATCAACTTAATTTTATCCTAGTTAGTCTCCAAAATCAAAATTATCTGTGGTTCTGGATCGTATTATGAGATTGGAAAACAAACAAGTAGTCGATGTTTCACTTGGCCGACAGAATAAAAAAGTATTGACGTTTTTACAAATGTTTTAAATAGAGGAAAATGGCGAGACATGTAAAAGGAGATGACACAGAGTGACAACGACAGTAGATAAGGCCCAAGTTACTATAGTCACTTTTGCAGAACTGTGGAATCTCCCAACACCCCCAAAGCCTTCAATTTACTAGTATTTTATTTGTCAGAAAAAAAAACGTTTTAGAAGTTAAATGTGTATCCAAACTTTTTAAGTAATGTAAACTTACTAAAGGATATCTACAATAATTGTCAATATCAGAACACTGATAATATCAAAGATAAAAGGTGAAAATGATGTAGGTATAGAAAACAATTGGGTATCTACAAATGCATTGGTTGATACTGTGGGGGAAAATTTGGACCAAAGATTTTGTACAGAGATCCGTTGGTGATTCTGGTTTTGGAGTTTAGCATCCTCTGGTTCCGAGCTAAACTCAAAAGGACCAACAATGAATAAACAATGTTAAATGTCAAAAGTTGTAAGGCCATATTATTATGTAATGTTACAGAGGCCTGTATAAAGTACAATTGGCATTTTTATAATTACGGTTTGTTATGATGGTACCTTCTGAAACTGACTCTCTTTGGCATTTTCTATTTCAGTTTTCAAAAATAAAAGTATCATTCACTTTCTTTTAAAGTCCATCTCTATTTTTTCGTCATCTAAAGTGATTAAATATTTGTCAAATTTTCATTTGAGCAAATACAAGATAAAGTTTTACAATTATGTTTGTATTAGGTGATTTTCCCGTGCTCATGCACGGACATAAATATTTATAAAATAAATATATTATAATAATTGATTGATATTTACTTCAAATTTAAAATTAATTTATAATTTGTAGGTATAATATATATTCATAATATTATATTAATTTAATTATATATAATTTTAGATTTGTTATATTTCATCAGTTTTATTGTTTTTACGGTTGATTTAGTTATCATTGAGATATATTAGATTCTATCTATTTCTCTGAATTCAACTATAATCCTTTTTATTCTAAATATATTAAATTTTTGATTAATTGTCTTAATTGCATTTATGTCGGTTGTTATCTTAGAAATATAAATTTATTCTGATTATAAATTACATACTTAAGTAACTGATAAATTTTAGCAAGCTTATGAACGAATATCAATATTTACATTATTTAGACTGATTAGATGGTAAACTAAAATTTATTTTAAAAATAAAAGATTCTGATTTGCTTAACTATTTTGATTATGGTTATATTAAGTTCCACAAACATAAAAACAGAAAATTAAAAATCAAAAGAGTTATTAAGAAAACATATAATTTTAACTATTAAAATATAATATATCTACTTTGATAAATTATAAATATTGTAAGATAATTGTAGTTATTTGATAAAAATGTATATTATTAAAATTCATTTTTACTTTTGTTTTTAATATCTCTTAAAATATGCAGTAAAAATGGTATTGTTTTTGAGAAATTATATTATATAAGTAAATAGAATTTATATTTTTTGCTGTAATTGTAAGATATTATAGTCAAGAATATACTAAAATAAAAACAATATATATTTCAAGAATACTAATTATAATTTTTTTTGTCAATTAAACATATATCAGTTTATGTTACTTAATTATTTTATGTAATCATCTAATAAAATAGATATATACAAAACAAATACTTTGAAAATCTATATATTTATTTTTAAAAATTATTTTTTAAAATAAAAAATATCTCTTTTTCTAATATAAAGATTAGTTGTCTGAACTTTTTTATGGAATCACATTATATACAAATATTGTTTTTCATCTCAGAAGATATAGTTATAAAGTATTTTATTACTTCAAAATTATATTTTATGTTATTTAAAATATATTTAAATTAAATATTACTATTTTGTGAACTTTCCATTTTTATGAAACCATATTTATATATACTTATATTTTCGTTTTTAAATATTTTCTAAACTTTATACATGTTTCCTTTTTATTTTATATTGTTATTTAGAAAAAAATTGAAAAGGAAATAACAATATTTAAATGTATTTTTTAATTCATTAGGAGTATCATAGTAATTAATCGGCGTGAAAGTTAACGTGAGAGCGACACATAAGAAAGTGACTTCTCAAATAATATTATAGAGATTTGAGAGAATCCACAATTCACCTGAAGAGGTCAAAGAAATTAATAAAAAGAGTAAGAAAAGAGATGACGTATAACTCAAGCAAACTCTGTCTGCTACTGTGGCATACCCGTTCCCCAAAGTTATTCACTAGTTACTACTACAGTACTACCAAACAAAAATTAACTTCAAGAGACAAAAGTTAAATCATAAAAATAATTGTTTAAACAACAAAAATCTATATTATAATAGTTCACTTCTAAGGTTCCTAAAGCTGTCCACGTCATCAAGTTTGTGGGTTCTGCACATTTAAATTTTAAAAGCTTAGAGTTTGTTTAAAATGAATATAAACAATGAATATATTTTAGTCCAGTGGTATAACGCATCTAATGAAGTGCACAAGTGTGTGGGTTCAAACCGCGTAGCTGTTATGTATTTTAGTTTTTATGTTTTTTTTTTCCTTTGGACTTATTTTTTAAAACGAAAAATAGTGGAAAAAATCCTAAAGTTTAACGAAATCAAACCCAAAAACAATTAAAAAATGATCAAAAAACGAACAGTCCAAAAAACAAAAAAAAAAACAAAATGAGTCCCACGTGGCACTATCATATACTAATATATATTTCTGTTAGAACATATTTTCTTATATATATTTTCAAAATATTATGTATGTGAAATAAAATAAAATAACAAAATTTAAGTATTCTTTTATTTATAAAATAACTATGTAATTTATCTTCAATTTTTAATAGTTACTATAATTTCATTTCTATCAGACTCAGGCAAATGGATTTCCACAGTCGATGACGCCGTAAATAAAAATGTCACATTATTCATGAACAAAATCCAAACTTATAAAAAAACATATCCAAACCTATCTATTGAAACCCAAACAACAAATATTAGCTTAAACTAAAGTTATTTTTAAATTGATAAATCGTTTAGTACAAATATAAATACTATAAATAAATAATTATATCAAGTTTTGACCTCCGATATAAAAATTATTTCCAACATATAAAAATAAAAAAACAAGATAGACACCTATTATTATACACTAGAAACTATATTATAATTTAGTTATTCCTATAAATCTTACTTAGCATATAAATAACATTTAACACATTATATATACAATATTTTCACTTTACACTCTTGCTACATTATTTCCATTTCATCCCTAAAAACAAAATGAGTCTCACGCGGCACTATCATATCCTAATATATATTTTTGTTAGAAGATATTTTCTAATATATATTTTCAAAAAATTATGTATGTGAAATAAAATAAAACAACAAAATGAAGTATTTTTTGTTATTTATAAAATAACTATGTAATTTCTCTTCAATTTTTAATAGTTAATATAATTTCATTTTTATCAGACTCCGGCAAATGGATTTCCACAGTCGATGACGTCGTAAATAAAAATACCATATTATTCATGAAAAAAATCCAAAATTACAAAAAAACATATCCAAACCTATCTATTGAAACCCAAACAACAAATATTAGCTTAAATTAAAGTTATTTTCAAATTTATAAATCATTTAGTACAAATATAAATACTATAAATAAATAATTATATCAAGTTTTGACCTCTGATATAAAAACTATTTCCAACATAAAAAATAAAAATAAAAACAAGATAGACACCTATTATTATACACTAGAAACTATATTATAATTTCGTTATTCCTATAAACCTTACTTCACATATAAATAACATTTAACACATTATATATAATATTTTCACTTTACACTCTTGCTACATTTTTTCTATTTCATCAATATTTGGTATTATTAGAATAACCCACTAAACTAACAACTGAAAAAAATACAGGCAAACATCAATGATCCCCAGTCCCGCGCTTGCGCGGGGATATGCAACTAGTAACAATAATAATTGAGAGTTGTGTGAAACAGAAGCTAATATCTACACAATTAAGTGCAACAACACCGAAGAAGATTTCAACCAGAGTTTTTCGTTTTTATTTCTTTCCTTTGTCAGTTTCGTTTTTATTTCTTTCCTTTGTCAGTTTGTAGCAACCACATAAAATTATTTGCTGGAAATTATTACTGTGGTTTATGATTTTAAATGCTTATTGTATATCTTTTCACACAAGTTACATTGGAAATCCCTTAAAATAAATTGTAGTTCGTAATACAAAGTCATGTACAGTTAGCATTATTGTGTATCATAAGGTAAACAAAACAGCCTGGTCTTAGCATAAGAACTTTGTTACAACGATTCTCAATCAAAGGTCTCATACACCAAATAAAGTCAAGTCGACCAGAATTTAACAAAAAAGTGTTTAAAGAGCATATAATACATATGATCTCACTAGAACTCAGATTAGTTCGTGGTGTTGGAGATTTCTCTATCTACTTTGTATCAAATGATTTCCAAACTGAATCAAAGGAAAACTATCTCTCCATTTTTTTCAGATAGAGTCAATCAATGGCAATGATCAAGAAGCCGACAGAGACATACATGAGGAAGACAGGGTAAAGTGCAAGAGCCTTCCTTCTTGGGTTCACTGCTGCGCTCATGAAAGGATAAGCGGCCCAAGAGCTCCAGGCAAGAGTCACACACACAACTATCATTTTGAGTATCACATTGTCCTTCAACATGCAGATCACTGCTCCAACATCCAGTGGAAACAGACAGTAACCCAAAAGGCTTAGGCTTTGGAAAAATATTATATGTCCTCCCTGAAAGTTGTATTGTTCAAGACCAGAAACAAGTGGGATGTTTAAAAAGGAAATCAAAGCTTGTAACGAGAAATAATAAAAGATGAATAAAATGTGTGCTTACCAGGAGCAGCACATTTAGTGTGAGGATCACTGCTCCAGCTGCAAGTAGTGCAAATGCCACGGCAAATACTTCTGACTGTAAATTACAGAGCAAAAGAATGAGACCAAAAGTCATTCCAATAGACAAATTCCGATTATTTATTCTTCCAGATGTGTAAGAGTGTAATGCTTTGTAAACTCAAAGACTAAAGCCCGGGATGCAAATACAAAAAAAGGATGGTTTTAGATGGAAATGAAAACGCAAATGTGATCTATAGCAAAAAGAGCTAAAACATTGAGGCAATTTTCAAAACTAAAAAGGGAGCACAGACTCAAGCAAATCCCAAATTCATGTATTTACAGAGATATCATGCATACATCAAGTGCATTCACACAACCAGTATAAGAAGGAAGACAGCCTTGTAAATGATCTCACATTTTCTTATTCCCGTATGTTCATAAATCCCAACACAGAAACGATTTTAAGGATGAATATTTGAAATAACAGCCACAACATGCCATCCATTTTGATCACATAAAGCTTATGTGACTACATCAGTACCAAGGTTAAATGGCCTAATATGGGTAACCGTATATCAGATGCTAGAGATAAAATGCTGCTAAAGCAAGACAAAAAAAATGTAACGAAACTCAAACTTACAAGTAAGACAGCACTAGATAGTTTGGTTTATTGTTCATAGAATCAAGCCTACGAGTTAAACTANAAAATGCTGCTAAAGCAAGACAAAAAAAATGTAACGAAACTCAAACTTACAAGTAAGACAGCACTAGATAGTTTGGTTTATTGTTCATAGAATCAAGCCTACGAGTTAAACTAAAATCTCACTGCAGTACAGTGTCCAAGGATGCTTATGTGATATGCCATCCTTTTTGATCACATAAAGCTTATGTGACTACATCAGTTCCAAGGTTTAATTCTCTAATAAGTTTAACTGTATATCAGATCCTAGACATAAAATCCTTCTAAAGCAAGACAGGAGAAAGCAATGGAAACTCAAAATAACAAGCAACACAGCACCAGATAAGTTCGCTCGCTGCTCATCTAATCAAGTCTACTATTTTAAATAAAAAATCTCAATGCAGAGCGGTCTCTAAGATGGCTTTAGCCAAAGACCAATACTCTCAGTTCATCCAAAAACGCCACCTTTATCTAAACTTCAAATCTCCTCAGATACTATGTACCACCAACGATAACCAATTCTCTCATATTTCAAAAGGGCACCTCAAAGCTAAGACCTTTTATCCACATACACATCCAAAAAGGAAACAGCTTTTTACCTTCTTAACAGAAGCAGACCAAGAGAGAGTAAGCCCCAAGAAAACAATAAAGAAAAACGGACCCCAAAGATCCCAATCCCTAAGCGCCTTCCCGGGATCCTCCCTATTCGGATTCGGGAACACCACCAGCTTCAAATTACTCACTATCCTCGCCAGATCCCTCTTCACCGTATCCCACACCGGCTCCGTCAACGTGTTCGGCGGCGGCCCGAACCCGCTTCCCCCGATCGTCTTCCCATCGGATCCTCCCCCGAAGTTACCTGAAGAAGGCGGAGGAAGAGACGGAGGTACGGGGACAGACGTCACCTTCTGAGAGGAGGAGGAGGGAGGAGGGAGAGGTGGGAGGTTGGATTGGACGAAGGGGGAGGAAGTGACGGGGATTGAGGGACGGATCGGGCTTGGTGGACGGGCGGGGAGGACTGTTCCGGGTCCTGATTGGAATTCTTGGTTCATCATGTTTTCGATCTCGTCTATGTCTGATTGCGAGGATTGGTAAAGCGGAATCGTGTCGTTGTGAGACATTTTTTTCTCTCGATTGGTTTCCGACGGGAGGCTTCACCGGAGATTGATGATTGGTTTTGTTGATTTTTTTCCCGGGAAAAGAGAAATTGATCAGATCTGTTGGATGAAGAAGATGAGTGGAATTTACTTAACGGAGGAAAAATAAAAATAAAGGTACGTGTGATGAAGTGCTCTTATTGAAACGACACCGTATAACTGCACCGACGTCGTTTGTCAAGTATGTGTTTGGTTCAGTTCTAAATGTACTTGTTATCGTTTAAGAGTCTTTGATGGAAATTCCATTGTTGAATGAAATCCCATTTTATGTAATCATGTGATTAGTTGATAAGAGTCTTTGATAGAAAATCAAAACTAGAATTATTTGTTATTGAATTTTAGTACTTTGAGTGGATTCTTTAGTTTACGGTATTGACACTTCCAGTAATTGCATTTAAATAAAGAGGTATTTAACACGTTTCTTGTATTTTTGTAACAATATAAATAAGCTAGTATCGTTTTTCATCTGGGAGAATGAAAAATGATTATCATCTTCATAAACATAATTTGTTTACCAACAAACATAGACACACCTCTAATTTGATTTATTGGACAAAGATATACAATCGAAAGAATAATCAACACACAAGTAGCAAAAGATGAAGCAGACCATTTTACATAGTAGATAAAAGAAAGCAGAGAGGATAGGTAGATAAATGTATATATATATGATTGACGATTCTATGACCTGGCACATTCCCTAGGGGCTCCCTGTGGAAACCTCTTAGTATCCGTACAATAATTATAGATCATGTAATTCTTCTGAACCCATCTGAGTCTAGCTTGGCTCGTTGAATCCATTTCTTGCGTGTACCAATTAGAGCTTGGTTTCGTCGAGGCACAAGACGACCTTCCGTTGGAATGAGCACAACCTTCGATCTTAATGTTCCTGTAAGAAGCAGTGAATGGAGCTTTGGACCAATCTGTTTTAACCAGACCGCCTCTAGTTGCCCAATCGTCTGCGTTCCATAAACTTGCGTACATCCTCATTGGCTTACTCTTTGGAAACAAAACACCGAGAGACTCAGAGTTTTTGAACTCTCTAATTGGCGTATTATCAACCGTTAATCTGATCCAAAAAAAAAAACAAATTAAAAATGAGAAAAAAAACATAAACATTTTAATGTAGTTTACTTGTGAAGCAAGAAAGGTAATATTTTTTGAGTTTACATGATTCTTTGAGGGTTCCAGAGGATTGAGTAAGTGTGGAAATTAGCGGTTGGGTCGAACCAGAGATGGAACTGTTGCTCTTTGTCACCTTTACCTTGAGTGTAAACATTGGTGTGTAACGTATAAGGATCTCCAGTCATATTACCCAAAAACTCAAAATCAATCTCATCCCAAGTCGTTCCTTCTGATTTTAGCTGACAAATTTTTAAATACAAACACATAATTAATTATCAGTTTAAGTTCTAACAAATTATCAAGAAAATGTAAAAAGTACATGGTCAAGTAAGTTACTTACGTAGAAAGTTGTGACAGTCCCTGCTGAGTTACCAGGAACGAGCTTAATCTGCATATCAATCTTACCAAACAAATACTCTGTTTTGGATTGAAAACCAGAACCAGATGATTTGTCTAACGTGAGAGTAAGAAGCTGGCCGTTGTTGAGTATCTTCCCACGGCCGTTTCCCCAAGCCACGTTGACGTCGCTGTTGAAGTCAGCGGTGGAGGCTGAAAACGCCGCCGCGAGGAGAGATGTGAACAAGAATATTTTGAAAGGAGACATTGTTATGTGTGTGTGCGTACGTGTGGGTGGATGGATGTGTTTAAAAGTTTGGTGAGGAATGTGAGGAAGAGAGAGGGTATATATAGTGGGTGGAGAATAATAAGTAACGTTTTGAGGAGAGTGGGTGAACAAAAGAGGCTAATATCAAGACATTGCATGCAAGATGTATTACAGCTGGACTCTCGAATACCTCCATCATTTTGGTGAGCTGATTATTTTACCATCCTTAATTAAATTATGTTTATATGTATAAACATGGTCGTATTGTTAGAAACGAGTTGTTTCATTCTTTGAAGTATGTTTGAGAAGATTATAAATTATGAGTTTATATCTGCTTTTCTTTAAAGTCTTGTATTGATAAATGTTAGTATTAACTTTCCCTTTGGTTAAATAGTACTTGAGTACTTTCTTTGTTTTTTCTTGTTTGGCAGTTTTGACTTTTAGTTTTAAGAAGGATTTAAATAATCATTTGCTATATAATTGGTTGCATGCTTTGTAGATATTTTACACGAATTTCTAAATTCAAAATTTGTTTGTATATCTTAATTACCACGTAGAGGCCGGTCTAGTGGGATGAGGAAAAAAAAATAAGAGGTCTAGAGGGAAATTACGTGTGGAATTGTTCGACTTCGAATTTGAAATTTGAGGACAATATATATTTGGCATATTTTTTGCCTTGGAATATATATTCTGATATTCTTTTTTGTATTTTCAAGAGTTTTTATGTATGCAATTATTGGTCGTCAAGTTTACCATATTTCTCGAATAAAACTTGCTCCGACTCTGAAGTCCAACTTTTCTACATGCATGTAACATAGCTTTTCGTTCGTACATACTTTCCTTGCAACTGGTATATGTTACGATGTGATTAAATATGATTTGTTATTATGTGAATGGAGCAACGAAGCAACTACGAAAAGTTTTATTGTATGGGTTAAAGGCTTGGTTGCGTTAGCAAAGGTGCAAGTAGTAGGATAGACACGTTTTCTTCCTCTCTCTTTCTTGTAAAATCAAAAAGGTCAATTTCTTTTGGTTGGTCACTAATTAATGAAAGGACTAAAGATGTTCCATTGCAAAGAAATGAAAAAATATAAATCAATAACCATACGTATAGCGGTATAGGTCTAATTCATGTTTTGTGATATGATATTGATGTATATTAGAATAAATATACAACTTTTTGGAATACACATATGACAAATTAGAACAGCTATTAGTTCATAGTTCAGGTAGAATTAAATCGAGGAAACCACAAACAAAATAAATTTAATGCCTGTCTATGAGGACAACTACTGATATTTATTGGAAATGACTAATGAATATGAGTGGTCCAAAACTCAAAGGCTATTTTCCTCAAGCACTAAAACTATTTTCATCCTCATTTGTTCATTTACAGGAACAAGCAACATTTGGTATTTCCAACTTTTTGCTAATTTTGTCTTCTGTTTTCACGCCCAAAAGTACTAAAAAATTGTCAATTTCCCCCCCAAATCATATCTGAGTTTTCCCATCATTGGCAAATAATATCATAAAACTATCAATAAGTTAAAACTCATATAAAAAGAAGAAGTTAAAACTCATATATGCATGTAGGTCGACGAGGAGCATCCAACTCTTGAAGCCATAACCTGTTGAGAACTTCCTACGTATTAATATTTAATATTTTACCCCTATTATCGGGTAAAATATGGCATGTGGAACTTGACCATTAGATTGAATGTAAAACTATTCATTATCAATGATACCACTTTGTTTTTGGGCTAAAAGAATCACCACTTTAGAGGTTGTTCTGTAATAGAAAGCATGGATCAATTTATGGAGTCCTTGTCAAACACAATTTAACTTCATTATTACACCGACATATTTGAGGTAAAAACAAAAGACAGTTTGGTTTTAAATAGTAGTATGCATACATACTTTGGAGTTTTGAGTATGTAATAGTATGGAGTCGATGGACCATAAGAATTAAGATAGGATAGCTACGTAATTAAAGCGAATACTATTACAAGAAGTTATATACATATGAATATGATTCACTGGATGCATTTTCTTGACACGGAAATTTTGATTTGGACCGCCTAACCAAACGTCAACTTGGTCCCAGTAAGCTTTACAGCTGTAGCATTACGAAATTAATTTCTTAGTGTAATGGCTCATCATAATTCTTAATCAGGGGCCTAACCTCACTGTTAGTTCAACGCAACTATATATTTTTCATTTTAACGAACCCATATCTCGGACAACTATGTATGGTCTTGTCAATTCCGGCTTCGGGCCTCCATAAATGTTGCAGGTTTTTATTCATTTTAAAAAAAGTTATATAGTCATTATTGAATTACATTCAAAATTCTGGGTAACACACCGTCTAGGCTGCCTCAAAATAGTATTTTATTTACCAATTAATTTCTTGAGAAGACCATAAATTTTAATTTTAATTTTATTTTGAAAAAAAAAACTAAGATGTAAAAACAAATCAATTAATTAATTCAAACGATTTTCTTTTTGTAATCCAAAAACAAAATTTTGTGTGTTTGGATATGTTCGAGAGATATTAGTGTAAACAAACCATATAGACTAGGTCAGCTTAATATCATAAGTATGTTTTAGAACGTTTATCACCCTCATTGCATGTTTAAGCGATTAGATGTTTTCAGAATATTGGTTGAACATCATATAATATACTAAAGGTTTGATATATTGAGTTACTATACTAACTTACTACTATCTAGTAAATTATGAAAAATTTCAATATTGTTACATATTCTATTTTCTTCTTGAAATTTCTTTATTGGTCAAGTGTCACGGAAGATGAGACTGATGAGTGATAACGATAGATTCGTCAATGCATGCACAATTATAAAAGAGAGAGAGCTGTAGTCTCACCTCACGACCACACAATTATTTAGAACCAAATAAACTGTCCATATAACATTTGTTACCGAACATATTGTGCCTAACCAAAATAACTTCGTATGTTTTCTACTAAGATAAGTGCATGAATAACTTCATATGTTTTCTACTATAATAATTGCGGGAATGTCATTTTCATAAACCAGCTGATCTCAATGGATAAGCGTAATTAGCAACTGACATCAATTATATTGGTCTGTCTTGTAGGCTCTATGTCCTTTTCTTACCTGGTTATTGCCAGTAGTTATATATTAATAATGGTACTATGATCACTTTTCTGAACTCTAATCCTCAAATACTAGCATTGTTTTGATCCACTTGTCTCGATAACAACCCCACTGGATAATCATCAACATTTTTTCTTTTGTCCATTTGTTTTTTTCCTTCGCTATGTACTAAAATCAACTATAGTACCTCTTACTGCTTAAATAATTACTTAAACAAAATTCATATAAACTCATAGCGTTAATCGTAGTTAACTATTACTGTATAACTATTCTATAAAAACATTTATGTGAATTTTCAATTACGAACTTTTCATTGGAAACAATCAAAGTAATGTACCGTGCTGGTGATTTAAGCTATTTCAACCGTACTTGATTTTTCATTTTAAATAGATTTTGGAATAAAATAGTTTCAAACATATTCCAATTTTTATTATTTAATGGAGTATAAATAGATTTACTCCATAAATATAATAATGTATTTTGTTCATCATTATTTTTGTTCATTCTAAAATAAAATACTGTCAGAGTATAAATTTTTATTTAAAAAAAAACAGTGAACAATTATAGGAGATTGTTTTAAACCAGAAGGTTTCTGTCAATATGTGCAAGCGATTGTAGAGATCGATGCTAATTTTCATTGAAAGTAATTAAATGTATAGTTTCATGATCATACGTTATTTTCCAATTCCCCTGTTTTCTATTTATCGACGCGATAAAGCAATCCATATGATAGCTGAATTAGATTGTTGTTTGGTATGATGGTGGCCAAGCTTTTATTATTTGGCATTGCTGTTCCTAACATAATGTTGCGAGTTTCTTGTCGTTCAAGCATTAGCAAATCTACTTAACCAGGCAATAGGCCCATTCTTCTAATATAGCCCAATAACACATTTATTTTGTAAATACTAAATAGGATGAATTGGGTGAATACCATAAAAGAGAGATACTTAAGAATTGAGGGGAAAAAATGGTATGTCGGGGATAGGGGTGGGCGTTCGGGTATCTATTCGGGTTCGGTTCGGATCTATTCGGGTTTCGGGTTTCGGGTTTTCGGGTTCACAAATTTTAGCCCCATTCGGATATTTCTAAATTTCGGTTCGGGTTCGGTTCGGATCTTTGCGGGTTCGGTTCGGGTTCGGATAACCCATTTAAATTCTTTTTTAAAATTTTAAAAAAGATTTTATACTTTAAATTTCTAAAAACCTATAAACAAAATAATATATTACAAATAATTGAATAACATAAGTCAAAATACCTAAAATTAACATATAAATTAGTTTGATTTGAATATTTGGATTGTGAATCAATAATTTTTTTTAAGTATTTTTGATGTTTTGAGCGTACTTTAGCAATTTTAGACATGTATGTTTGACTATTTACATATATTTACAAGTATTTTGAACAACTTCAAAGTATTTTATATATATTGAATGTTTTTTTATATACATTAAATCTAAAATAATTAATATATATAGGTATATAAATCTCTTTCGGATATATTCGGGTACCCGAAATATTTCGGTTCGGGTCGGGTTCGGTTTCGGTTCTTTAAATACCAAAATTTTGAACCCATTCGGATATTGAATCAATTTCGGTTCGGGTTCGATACTACTTTTTCGGTTCGGGTTTGGTTCGGTTCTTCGGATCCGGGTTTTTTGCCCAGCCCTAGTCGGGGAGGAGAGAGACAGAGATAAATAGGATAGATCTCTAATTTAGTAGTTTTGTGTGTATAGAGGGTGCAAATACTCTACTAAATATTGATCAACTCGTGAAGCTTTACAAGGATAATACTCAAGACGAGTTATTTATTTTTGAGCAACTACGAGTTCTTATTCTAAATTGCTGTCACTTGTTTTTGACAAG